TTAATCTAGTACTCTTAATACAAACTAGTGAAAGTACTTCAAAATAAATATATTCATTTAACCCTTAACTTGCTATGTTTCTATAATGGATCTGTCCCGTTTTGAATTTGAAACAGTCCATTCAAAGTTCAAGGGACTTCAATATCAAAATACACATGTACAAAAATTAAGCTGCCAACAGTATAGAGCCTGGTCAGACTGCACGGCTGTGCAGGCTGGCCTGGCTCTATACTGGTGGCATAGGTTGATCACTTTTGATTCCAGCAAGTTAAGGGTTAAATTATAGAAACAAAAAATCTGATATTCATCTGTATTAACTATACACTGTATCATTTTAGAAAAAATCTGTAAATATATAAAACAATATTACATATAAACATGAATGTTTGGAGACAGATGCAATGAAGTAACTCACTCTACTACCTGGTGAATATTACAGGACAAAAAAAGCACATAATCTTAGCATTATACAGAAATAGGAATGATTCATACAACACTAACTTCAGCAACTAAAATGAGCCGCATCATGACAAAACCAACATAATGGGTTTGCGACCAGCATGGATACAGTCCAGTCTGCGCATCCGCGCAGTCTGATCAGGATCCATGCTGTTAGCTATCAGTTTCTCAACTTGTTATAGGGTTTGTAAGCGAACAGCATGGATCCTGATCAGACTGCGCAGATGTGCAGGCTGGTCTGGATCCATGCTGGTGACAAACACACTATGTTGGTTTTGTCATGACACGGCTCAAATCTACAATACTTCTGTAACAAACAAGCGCTCTCTGCAAGACTGTTCTCAGTGCTTGACAGTAAGAAAAGGGACATAAATCAATAATAATTTAATTCAAGAATTATGGGACCTGTGCCCATCATGTTAGATCATAACAGAGAACAAGTGTGTGAAGTTTCAACCTATTTACTTCAGTAGTTTTGGAGATACCAACTTAAACGTAAACATGTAACAAAAGTGTGACTCCCGACGCCTGGTTGAGTTCAATAGCTCTCCCAATTCTTTGAATAGTTGAGCTAAAACTATAAGGGTATAGATTTACTAGGGAGGATTGCATCCAAGGAATGAAGCCCCAAACAACAGCCAGTCACATATAACCAATGTAAAGACAAAACACATAAACAAGAATAGGGGAAAACAACAAGGGAGGTAGAGGGGAAAACAAAGATATAACAGGCCAGGGCAAAAATAATATCTGCAAGTAACAAACAAATTGAGAAAAAAAAACCATTTCACAATCAACTAATAGTATGGCTATAATAATATACACATGAAAACTGTAGTATATCAAGTTAACATCTACTTAAACATTTAAATAAACTAACACCTTAAATAAGCTTAAACAAAATTAAAGACATTTAAGTATATATATCTTAACATTTACTGACACTTAATAACATTAAGTAAATCTTCAAACTAGGGCTATTATAATTAACAACAGAGGCTAATCATAATAAACATAAAATCATTGAACATAGATTTTTACTGGTTTGAAGTCAACAACCTAACCACCCGGCCTCTGATGCCCCTTTTATTAAATTTTTCTTTAAAGGTCCATTATGCCTCAGGGTATGCTATCATTTTGTTTCTCAAGAACTTTTTATTTTTGGTATCTTGTTACAGTTTCAAAAGAAATACTCATTTGCTACAAAGATGACTTTGAAGTTTTCATTTGCTTCTGTTGCAATGTGTAAATTGTTTTTTTGTTCAGTTCACAATGTTTTACTTTTATATATATTTTCAAAATTTTCATGAATCTAGAGGTGTGTTGCTTTAATAGTGTTTGCTACTCAGTCATGAACAATGGGTATGAACCCTGGAGTCACAACAAAATGACTTCTTGGGTGACTTCAAGACCAGTTAGTCTAAGATGCAGACTTGAGATATATGAGCCGTGTCACGACAAAGCCAACAAAGTGCGTTTGCGACTAGCATGGATCCAGACCAGCCTGCACATCTGCGCAGTCTGATCAGGATCCATCCTGTTCGCTATCAGTTTCTTTACTTGTTATAGGGTCTGTAAGCAAACAGCATGGATCCTGATCAGACTGCATGGATGCGCAGGCTGGTCTGGATCCATGCTGGTCGCAGATGCACTTTGTTGGTTTTGTCGTGACACGGCTCGTATGGCTAAGCTTTTACCATTTCTAACACTGGTATAATCATTTTTCTTACCATCAATTTTCAGTGCAGTCAGTTTTCTTTAACAATTATATTTGTTACAACCAGTTTTTGGTTAGAACCAAACTTGAGTACAAAAATTTTAACTAACCTAATCGCTTCTGATACCTAAAAAGTCAATGTAACAACTATTTAATATTTACATAGCACTTTACATGTATTTCAAGGACTTTCTATACACAATAAATATACACTCTAAATGAACACAATTCAACTGACCGTCTATTTTCTTTCTACAAACAGCTGTTATATTCATTTTTGATATTTAGCACCTTTTTTTTATCTTTAACTCCTCTGAAAATTCAAACCGTGTCCTTATAAAAATAAAGAATTCTTAAGTTTCATTTCAGGATTTGTACTTGACAGTATCACCAAATGTAAACAATATGTCACTCCAGAAAACTTTTGCCTTTTCTATAAATTTTTGCACTATAATTACCGCTAATGTTTTAAATATTGATAAATATAACTGACCCCAACAAGCATGTTTACTGGCACCACAATATTGATGTTTTTGTATTTTTCAAATAATTACATCCTAGTCCTACCCACTCATATGACAAAAATGTTCTAAAAATAGATATTCCAAATAATGTCAAAAGGAGGCAAAAGAAGCTTCAGATGTACTGCCATATTATCATAAATTAGTCAAATTTCAAATCAACTAGGTGCTCTATAACTATAATCAGTTAAGTTTCATTTTACATATATCTAAATGTCTATACTTTTTACAAATAAAATTATCAGCATGTAGCAGTATATAATAAGGCTTTAAGTTTGTATAATAATATTATCACATGTGCCTTTTATTAAGCTGCATGCCTCCAGATGTGCCAAAATATTTTAAGAAAATCAAACTTGTGAGAGAAAAATGTACTAAAATTCTGAGAAAAGTAAAAAGATTCGAGATTCAAGTAATAATTCACATGTTGTGTTTGATTATTATTAATGACTGATTTTGCAGCATTTATCATCATATTTCTGATGACAAACTCAGTAAATGATTAGATCTACTATTGCATATTTTGACCTCTTTCTGGTACTTTACGTGGATTGTAAGTGCCGTTTGCAATCTGTAAATTACTTTGAAAATTCTCTGTTTTCACAACATTATACTTTTTTAATACATTTTTCAAAATGTTCACGAAAATTAACATAAATCTGGGGCATGCTGCTTTATAGTTACCATGGCAACACAAATGACAGCAAAATTAAAAATCACAATTACTAAGAGTTATCAATTTTTTTCCAAAATGAAAAAAAGAACAGACAAAAACTTTATACATGTAGTTACCATGGCAATGCAAACAATAGCAAAATGAAAATCACAATAACTAAAAGTACTCAATTTTCATACATGAAAAAAAAAGTTGAAAAAAAATTCAATCAGTGAAAAAAAGTCAAAAGGTTTTAAAAGATAAGACAAATGGCCATCATACACTACATGTCTTAACTAGCAAAACTTTGTAAAAAAAAAGAAGAAAAATTTTAAGCAAAATTTATTAAAAAACCTCAGTGCTCAAATCAATGCTATTGTCATTCTCAAAAAGATAAATTAACAGTCTTTAACCCTTTCGCTGCCAGAGGGTTATTGTTTTATTTTTAACCTATTTGCCAGAGGGTTTTCTAAGGAATTACTATTATTAATTAATATAATTATTATTATTTGTTATAAGTATTATAATAATTATATATGTTTCCAAATCTGTTAGTATAATAATTATTATTGTCGATGGTATAATTTTCTTTATATTTATTATTATTTTTATTATTATTATCATTAATTTATTATTATTACTATAATTATTATTGAAACGGCTAAAGCCGTCCATATGGCAAATATGCCGAAAATAACAGGGACAGCTTAAGCCGTCCCTATGGCAGTGAAAGGGTTAATCTATGGTGAAATAAAGATTTGAGATTCTATCTTATTGAATTTGTATTTATAATACTAGTTTAGTTTTAATTTAGGAACGATTTTAGTCAGGTCTTCAATTTAGTTTGATTTTCGAATGGATAATTTGGTATAATTATGAGAAAATGGAATGTGTTAATAGGAATGTGTGGAAGCATTGAAGTATAAGTTCAAAATTTAGCAAAAAAATATGTATATATATATACATGTGCATAAATGACCCAAGATTACAGGAATTTGAAAAAAAATGAGCAAATAAATATACACATATGCAATTGTTTAATTCCTGACATAGTTTTCTAAATAAGAAAGAGAAGTTTGCATATTTGCACATATAAAATCAAGAAGTGATGTCTATTTTTTTTCAATTTTTTTTTTTAAAACATCCAATGACTTGGGAAAGCATCATATTTGAAAAAATTTCAATTTGTCTTTTCATACTATAAAATAATACATATTAGGCCACAATCTGAAAAAATATTATTAAAGCTGCATGCCTCCAGATGAGCTAAAATACTTCAAGAAAATAAAACTTGAAAAAAATGCACAAAGATTTTAAGAATAGTATAACAATTCTAGAAATAATTTAAATTTTAGGTGCAATAAATGACTGATTTAACAGTATTCATCACTAACACAGTAAGGGCTATTTTTGTATATTTTGACCTCTTTTTGGTAATAAACCTAGACTGTAAGTGTTGTCTGCAATGTTTAAATTTGACTTAAAAAATATTTTACTTTTAAATACATTTCAAAATTTTCATGAAAATTAGTATGAATCTGAAGGTGTGCTGCTTTAATACTTAAACAGAAACATTGCAGAGAGAGGTTATTTTAAATAGGAAAAACAAAATTAAAAACCAAAATAGAAACACAAAAGAAAATTGGGATTATCTGATTGGAGTAACTTTATTTTTGGTTCTATTCTCACTCATCCTGTGACATTTCAAAAATAATTTCCAAGTAACGTAACTTCATCTTCGTGTATGAATCATACAAAAAAACACTCCTTTTGATAATTACATGTACATGTAATAGTAAATTGTTTACGAAATCAGTGAAGATTTATATCACAATTTTGTTGTTGTTTGTTGGTGAAGATGATGAATTTCTGTTTGTTGCTAATGAACTCTCGCCACGAATGTTTTCAACGATCGGTCCAATAGCTTCCCATACCTTGCATAACTGAAAAAAACAGGAAAGAAAACATTTCCAGTTAATATAGATGAATATATTTGAGCCGCGTCACGACATAACCAACATAGTGGGTTTGCGACCAGCATGGATCCAGACCAGCCTGCCCATCCGCACATTCTGATCAGGATCCATGCTGTTTGCTTACCAACTCTGTTAGAAGTGGAGAAACTGACAGCGAACAGCATGGATCCTGATCAGACTGTGAGGATGCGCAGGCTGGTCTGGAACCATGCTGGTCGCAAACGCACTATGTTGGTTTTGTTGTGACGCGGCTCAATTTTCTTTCAGAAATTATCCTTTCTTTTTATAGAGAAGCATTTGAAAGGACACTTTAGTCACATGAAGGCCTGTTGAATATCATTTTCTGGCTATTGTTAGCTGGTGGAGAGAAAGACTAAATCTCTTGTGCAGATATAAGAAGAATCTTCTACCTCCTTCATATTAACTGTTTACATAATACAATTTTACCCTGAATGTAATTTAAAGTAACATTATGCTCAATTTTTTTGTTATCAAGTTGAATATTATTTGTTATATATTTCAAATAATTGACTTGACCAATAATTGATCATGAAAAACGCTTATGATACAATATTAAAACAACTAATTTTTTATGTGGTCACTGACCATTTGCTATTGGATAAGCATAAAGTCATAAGAAAAAAGTATATGTGTATTTATGTATAAGTTACATAAATACACCATTAACCTACTCTCTCCTGAATTTTTGCAATTTGTGTTTCGAATTTTGATCTTTAAACTGTCAATTTTTCATTTATGGACGGATTGAAATTTAAAGGTTAAATTCTTAATTTGTTGGGTTTTTAGTCATATCAATACAGTAATGGTCATATGACGATTTATACTATAGTTAAAGGGACTCCACTGAGGTTTGTTGACACGACGTAACTAGAAATATTCATTTCTGAGATTTTTATAGTTTCATGTAGTTCAATACCCATCAACTTGTAAGCAAAATTTCAGATCATTTGTTCACTCATTTTTTTCAAGAATATTGTGCAAAACAACCAAAAATGATATCTTAAATTTAAATTGGGCTTATAGAATCTCATTAAACATGGATTTTTAGTTTAATTCTGAGTTATCCTTTATCATCTTTTTCAGCTTTTTGTGCCCCAGCTAATGTATGTTCAAATTTTAAATATTTAGGCTTTTGGACCAAAGTGAACCAAACATTACAAAGCCTAATGACAGTGCATAGTCTAATTATATAACAGTACAGTGTTTAAATAGATAACAGTACATAGTCTAGTTATATAAAAATACAGTGTCCAGTTATCTAACAATACAGTGTCTAATTACATAAAAGTAATATGCAGGCTGGCCAGACTCTATATTGATGCTATAGGCAGCTTGCGTTCTGGGAGTTGAATATTTTTGTACTCACCTCTCCATGTGACACAGATTGAACTTCTGTCATTGAGGCAAGAATATCGTAGAGAATGTCTAAGTTTGCATGTATTAACTGCGTTTCCATTTGAAGACAGTGTAAGCTGTAGTAATTCCTATTTTCCATGTTTGCTATTTGACCTTCTTGTTCCAAAATTTTCTGCTCCAACTGTTCTACCTGGCCAACCTGTATATAAATAATCATATTTTTTTTATCAGAATATATATACAAATGTATGTTGACTTTATTGTAATAGACTGAGCAGTTCATGAAGAAAAAAAACCAGCAATTTTGTCAAATTTACATAAAAAATCAGGGTATAAAGATGTATCTAAAGAATTTTTTTTATAAAATCTATAAACAGTAAAATAATGTTGCTTACATAAACTTATGGTCAGTCCTTAAAAAGTTGTAACAAAGAATGTCTCTATTATTTATCACACATGAATATTGTACGTAAATAGAATAAAATATTCAGTAACAAAATATGAGCCGCGTCCAGCATGGGTTGCGACCAGCATGGACCTAGACCAGCTTGCGCCTCCACGCAGTCTGATCAGGATTCATGCTGTTAACTATCAGTTTCTCTACTTGTAATAGGGTTTGTAAGCGAACCGCATGGATCCTGATCAGACTGCGCGGATGCGCAGGCTGGTCTGGATCCATGCTGGTCGCAAACCCATTATGTTGGTTTTGTCATGGCGCGGCTCATATCATGCTGCTATTCTCAAGTAGAGTTTTAACCATTCAGCACTCATTTCCTGCACATGCGATTAGCTTTTAAGAAAATATACAATTATACAGTATAATTCTTTCATATAGGTAATTTTCAACGATTCTTTTTCAAAATTCAAACAGTAACTATGTAACCTACTGGCAACAGACATATAAATAAACTTTACAAATATTGGTAACGTAAGTTTATAGTAATATTGAAATAACACAGTGTTTAGACACAGACAATCTTACACTAAGTAAGAGAAAGGGACATGAGCCACGCCATGACAAAACCAACATAATGGGTTTGTGACCAGCATGGATCCAGACCAGCCTGCGCATCAGTCTGTTCGCTTACAAGCCCTGTAACAAGAAGAGAAACTGATAGCGAACAGCACGGATCCTGATCAGACTGCGCGGATGCGCAGGCTGGTCTGGATCTATGCTGGTTGCAAACCCATTATGTTGGTTTTGTCATGGCGCGGCTCACATGTTGTACTTGTGAAATATTTCTTTTCATACCACTTTAATGAAAATAAATCTCGTAGTTATAGAAACAAGATTGCATTTGAGAAAAATGCTATGCCACCGCATGGTTCAAATTTTATAGCTGTACATCAAAGGACAACAAAGTAAGTCACATCATCAAAATCTAGGTCAAAGTTCAATTTTACAACTAAAACTGTGCACAAGGTCAAAATGTCATTGCTGTACATCAAAGGACAAGAAAGTAGGTCTCTGTCCCCTTGGGCAAGGCATAATTTTGACCCAAGGGTTTAATAACAATCTTGATACAGGTCCACCAAACAACATTTCAAGTCAAATATCTAAGCTATAGCTTTCTCCCATTCAGAAAATATTTGTTTTATTTTCTGTTTTTACTACGTGTACATAATGAGAATCACTGCCCCCGGGCAGGGCCAATTTTTGACATTTGAAAACTTTGGTAAAGGACCTATAGATGATATTATATATTAAACATCAAAGATTATATATTAAACATCAAAGCTCTTTGCCTTGAACCTTCAGAGAAAAATTTTTTTTTTCACTATATGTACATAATGAAAATCAATGACCCCCGGGGCGGAACCAATTTTGACCCCAGGGCTATAATTTGAACAATCTTGCTAGAGGTTCACTACACAATGTTTCATGCACAATATCTTAACTTTATCCTTTGTAAATTTAGAGAAGATGATTTTTTAAGTTTTAACTATATACATATAGGATAAACCTATGGCTCCCAGGGGCAGGGCTTATTTTGACACAAGAGGTAAAATTTGAACAACTTTGGTAGAGTACCTTTAGATGATATTATTTAACAAATATTAAAGCTCTAAGCCTTGTACCTTCAGACAATAAGATTTTTTTATTTTTTACTATATGTATATATTGAAATCAATGACCCCTGGGGCGGGCTGATTTTGACCCCAGGGCTATAATTTGAACAATCTGGGTAGAGGTCTACCAGACAATGCCTTATGCAAAATATCTAAGCTCTTAGCCTTTTGGGTCTTTACAAGAAGGTGTTCTAAGTTTTTACGATATGTACATATAGCGAAAATCAATGACCCCGGGGCGGGGCCGATTTTGACCCAAGGGCTATAATTTGAACAATCTTGGTAAGGGTCTACCAGATGGTGCCTTATGCAAAATATCTAAGCTCTAGGCCTTTTTGGGTTTTACAAGAAGGTATTTTAAGTTTTTACTATATGTACATAGAGAAAATCAATGACCCCCGGGGCGGGGCCAATTTTGACCCCAGGGCTATAATTTGAACAATCTTGTCAGAGGTCTACCAGACAATGCCTTATGCAAAATATCTAAGCTCTAGGCCTTTTGGGTCTTTACAAGAAGATTTTTTAAATTCATTCTTATTATTCCTTTTGGTTGCCATGGCAACCAGATTTCTGCATGGAATGAAATTCTTTGAACAACTTTGGAAGCCCTTCACCCAAGGAACAATCCTGCAAGTTTGGTTGAAATTGGACAAGTGGTTTTTCACAAGAAGATTTTTTAAGTTCACTATATAATCTATATAACACACACACACATAAACAAACAAACAAACACACACACACACAGGTGAATCGCTATATGCCACCGCATCGCAGATGCTGCGGTGGCATAAAAAACTCAAGTATCCTCTATGTATTTTGTACAGCTTAGCTCATCAATAATGTACAAAGGTTGCCATGAATACTGACAACTATACAAATATGACGTTAATAACTGGAAGAAAAAATGTGATAATATATAATTCACTACTCGTTAGCAAACGCTACAGTTTGGAAGCATTCTTCTTCCCCTTCATTTACATAATTTGAACTGACCTCCAAACTTTTTTCTCAAAACAGAAATAGCCATTTCATTTGCAATATGTCAAGTAAAATTCCAAAACCCTTTTACATAAACCATTATGAAACAAAAATTTAATCTTAGCTGTGGCCAACCATATTAGGAAAAGACATAACAAAGGGGAGCAGTACCTAGTGATTCATGAACTATTTAGGCATCAGGGGTAATGACCTTATTGGGGTCATGGTCATGTTTCCACACATGACACAAGTACTGGTTAGACAAATCTCATCACCATTAAAGCTAACTGGGTTGGGTTTTAGAGGTCATATGGCCATCCTCTAGGTTAACTGGTATAGGAAATACCTCAGGTGCTCCCCTGTGCATTATTTCTGGCACAAACAGGCCATGAGTAGAACCACTAATGCTATGTTAGCTAGCTGAACAGCTTCCTCACATGAAAGAATCCAAAGTTGCTGACATAATTTTTATCTACAGCAATTTTTATACTTATAATTATAGTACAGTTGACTCTCAATAAGTCAAAATTGCTTTTCTCAAAATTCCGCGTTAGTCGAAGAATTTATAAAGTCCCGTCAAATTTCCTTCTTTATCTTTGTATTTTAACTCCGCTTACGTCAAATTTTGACTAACAGAGACTCCTGTTTAGTCGAAAAGAAAATTTGGTCCAGTCAAATAAAGTCAAACATATTTTCATCTCAATTAGTCGAAGTGTGAAAACAGACGACCGACATCAAGGTGAGATGTTGTCACTCGTGATTTACACGTTTCATAGTAATTTTTAATTGGTCATCATGTATTATTAACACGTCGTATAAGAGGATTTAATCCATTTCAGCACTTAATTGGTTTTAACAGTTAGATAACTAAATTAAAATTTAATTACATTTCTTTAAGAAAGGTGACTCGTGCCAGTATGACGGGTGTTAGTCAAATAACAGCCTAGGTATTGATGTGTGTTATCAACGTAAATAACATTTGTATAATTAATGTTCCGTTATTTTGCATACATTAATTTGTACTTTCGTTTTCGTTCGATGATCAATTAAACCAAATATAATTGTGTGTTTATGTTTCACTATTTATATACATGTATTAAATTTTGAATGATATATTTTTGTTCATCTATAATTTGTAGTTGTAAGTGATTTACCGTCATTTCAACGGTTAAATATTGCAGCATTGCCGCTAACAACAATAACAAAACTACTATTTTGCACATTTAATCAGGCACATGTATATACATGTACGACTGTCAACGTAATGGCGGCAGTTCCACGTTACTCGAATTCCGTTTCTCTCGAAGTAAAATGCCCAGTCCCTTGGATTTCGAGTAACCGAGAGTCAACTGTACTTTGCTAAGGGGTTGATTCATACCTCTGAACTTTGAACAGTGGCAGACATTCTTTTCTTTTTATATTGCCCCATTTTCTGTACAGCCCTTTGATGGTCCTGCAAGACCCCTTTTTCATGTCTATCACAGAGGTCCTGAAAAAACAAACAACAAATTATAAGATATGCTTTTGATATTTTCCTCATGTGGTGCTGAAAATGATTCATAATATAACTAGGTTAACAATAAAAAAAATGCCAGTAGCCAAGATTTCAGTATTTCTGACTAAAGATTTTCAAGTAAAAGCTTAAAGCTACTACACGCTACGTTTTTTGAAATGACGGGACTTTTATTTTAGAGAGATTTGTGTACCACTCAATGGGTCTGACCAGTTTAGGTGCACTGATCTTTCTCTCTCAGAATTTAATGAATAATTTGTTCTATTGTGCAAAATGACCCAAAAATGAAGTGTTTAAACCCTTTAACTTAAATCAGGCTAAAAAATTGCAAAAAAAGATAAGTCGATTTTCAAATATTTCTCAGTATTTTTCATTTTACCTTTTACATATTTTCAAGTGTCCAAATTGATACATATATTTTAAAGCAGAACACCTCCAGATTCAGGTTTATTTTCATGAAAATTTTGGAAATGTATTTAAAAGTAATATATTATGAGATGAACAAATAAAGCAATTTACATATTGCAATCGGCACTTACAATCCAAAAAAGTTACCAAAATATGGTCAAAATATGCAAAAACAGCCCTTACTGTGTTAGTAGCGCAGTAGAAATATGGTGATATGGTGATAAAATACAGCAAACCGCATAGAACATTTAAAATGTCACTTGGATCTTGAATGTTTTTACCTTTCATAAAATTTTAGTACATTTTTCTCAATATTTATTTTCTTGAAATATTTTGGCTCATCTGGAGGCATGCAGCTTTAAATTTCAATTTTTTTTAAAATTTCTTAGACTTTTGGTATTCCCTGGAGCTTCTTTAAGTGAAAAAGTTGTGCTGAATAATACAATATAAGCCCATACAAACAAATAACTAAACCAGCCACACTGTCTTCTATCTTGTAATCAACAGTCACAAATATATGAGCCGCGTCACGACAAAACCAACGTAATGCGTTTGCGACCAGCATGGATCCAGACCAACCTTGGGCATACGCGCAGTCTGATCAGGATCCATGCTGTTCGCTTACCAACTCTTTTACAAGTAGAGAAACTGATAGCGAACAGCAAGGATCCTGATCAGACTGCGCAGATGCCCAAGGTTGGTCTGGATCCATGCTGGTCGAAAACGCATTACGTTGGTTTTGTCGTGACGCGGCTCATATATACTTATAATATACATGATTCATAAAACTAATTTAAAATACGTGCATTTTTAAACACATCCTTTCAAAACAACAGGAAACTACGTCAATCAGTCTTACACATACATATTTACATAATAACACAAATATACAACTCTATAAAACACCACAAAGCCAAAGGTCTATGTATTTACCATTACAGGAATATTAGATACGAGGGAGACTGCCAACAATTAACAGAATGTAGCACAATCAATAATATTCTGAATCATATATTAGCAAAAGTCACATTCACCAATATCTCAACATTTCAAACAAGAGCTGTCGGAAGACAACATCGCTCGACTTTTCAAAAAAGTTGTCACAAGAGTGTTTTATTGAGTATAATAATGCTTACATTTATGAATACATTAAATTGTCCCAAAAAGGTACAAGATATTTTATCGAGTAAATCACTGCTTGATTATTATTGATGCAGAAAATAGTCACCAAAAAAGGCGCAAACCCTTCAGTAGTTATGGAGATAACCAGCTTAAAAGGGGCATAAATAAGCAAAAAAGCAATTCAGAGTTTTGAGACTTCTACAAATCATGTTAGATAATCACAGAGAACAAGTGTGTGAAGTTTCAGTAGTTACAGAGAAACCAGCTTACACGTAAAAACTTAACCACAGGGGCGCACACACCGACAAATGGGTGACTGCATTAGCTCGAGTATTCTACGAATAGTCGAGCTAAAAAGGCTTTTGATTTATTTAATATAAATTACTGGTATTTTACATTTAAAGTGTTACCAGATTTTTAAACAGAATATATCTTCCTTTAATGGTTTTTTTTTATAATAAATAAAAAACAGGTGACAACAAAATTGAATTTTACTCTGTTTTCTTCAGAAATATTCATGTAATTGCTTAGCATACATTTCACTTTTTTTTGACATAAACACTTTTAGAACATTTTAAAATTGTTTTTCACTTGAGATTTCATCAAACAGATTTTCAATTAACGGCACAATATTTACTGTTAGTTGGTATGAAAGTATCAACTTCAAAACAATATCTTTTAAGTACTTTATTTGTTATAGCCTTGGTAATGCTCATATGTTGATATGTATTGAAATACACACTGCAGGTGGGGCCTGATAAATACTGATTTTCACTCCACCAATATATGAGCCGCGTCACGACAAAACCAACAGTGTGTTTGTGACCAGCATGGATCCAGACCAGCCTGCGCATCCACGCAGTCTGATCAGGATCCATGCTGTTGGCTATCAGTTTCTCTACTTGTAATAGAGTTGTTAAGTGAACAGCATGGATCCTGATCAGACTGCGCGAATGCGCAGGCTGGTCTGGATCTATGCTGGTCGCAAACGCATTAAGTTGGTTTTGTCGTGACGCAGCTCATATTATGATGACAGAGATGATACTCTCGGTGGATGTTATAAAATAATCACCAGTTACTGTAACTTAAATGGAAAACATCCGCTAATGTTGTTAGATTATCACAAATGGCCACCATGCCGACAGATTCTGTGAGTCATGCTTATTTCTTGGTTTACTTTATGCCTTTCTAGATGCTGAGGAAAATTTAAAAGCATACACCTATATTTCTAGAAATATGTCTCAAAAAGAAACCCCAGGACAAGACTATTCTGCCCCAAGTGGCATGATTTATTGAAGTTTCGAAGAGACAGTCTGTGCAGTAACATCAATAGAAGATACAAATGAATGTAGATTTTAAACTTATATTACTTAAAAAGTTTGATAAAATCATATTTTCAAGCTTCTGGCATTGATAATATTGTTAGATTCAATAAGTTCTATTCATCACAAATCTAAATTAAGAACATTTTACAGTTAAAATAGTCATTATCTCTAAAAGAGTCTATAGTGTATTGCTAAAATTAGCTCACTTTAACCCTATGTTTGTATATAACGCAATTGTTGTCACTTTAAATTGTTATTTCACTAGTGTTATCTTGTTTTTTATTAAATGGCATTATTACACTCCTGCACTGTTGTTTATGTGATTAAACTATACAAATTGTTAGCTTCATCATTTCAGTGCTTTGATAGTGAACTTCCTTTTACAACAAAAGGGACTAAGGGGCGTCTGTGGCCGAGTGGTTAAGGTCGTTGACTTCAAACAACTTGCCCCTCACCGCTGTGGGTTGAATTTCTCGTCTACAGATGGTTCCCTAAATGTACATATATAAATGAATAAGGAAAAGTATATATTATAATACTCACCTTATATGAAATTATTAAATCTAGGAGTAATGACAACTTTTCTACAACTGTTTCGTCCTCTTCAGCAGCCTAAAATTAAAACATTAAAAAAAATATACAGAAATTTAAAGGGACTCGAGGTCAAAAAGCCTAAAAATATAACATTTGAAAGTCTTGCCTTGATCAAGTGAAACACTTAAAATGGAAAAGACTGCAAAGGATAATAGGGAAACAATCTCAGAAAATAAATGAAAAATTGATTTTTTTGTAAGATTACTGCCCAATTTGTGTGAAAGGGTGCATAATAAGAACATTCCTATAAATGTGCTTTTGGAGGGCATTTCTTTTCCAACATGACATTTTCAGTAACCAACAAGAAAGATGGAATGAAATAGAATTTAACAATAACATTACTCATCATTTCAAATATCATCTAGTTAGTTACATTAACAAACTACAGATAAAGGTGAGCATACCCCAACCTGAGCAACTTAAATTTACTTATTGAAAATAAGTAGTCTGAAGCAAAATTTGAACTCAACCTATATTTAATGTTGTTTCATCATGTCTGTGTACCAATAATTATTATAATTAATTGCCCATCTGCCAGAAACCATTTTTCTATTTTTGTAACAGGGACAATGACATTGACCTAAGAATCATTCCTTACATATGATATTGTCCATTTGTATTACAGTGACCTTCACACCAGTAAGTCTGAAAGCAATCGGGTCTTCATATAAGCTTGCCATATACCAAGTTTGATTACAATATCTCATTCCTATCTCTTTTCATTGTCTGGAAACTATTTATCTTTTTTTAATAACAGTGAACTTGACCCAAGTGAGTCCAGAGCAATCCCAATCAGGGATTTCACATGAGGGGGTCTGTACTCTCAGTGCCTGTAAGGGCAAATGGACCCTCATTAAGCAAAGAACACACATTTCCACATAAGGTTGCTCATAAAATATATTGAGTTAGATTACAATAACTCATTGTTTGCTTTTTGGCAACCATTATTAGGAGACTATTAAGTTAGAACATTTGAGCCGCGCCATGACAAAACCAACATAATGGGTTTGCGACCAGCATGGATCCAGACCAGCCTGCGCATCTGCTTACCAACTCTATTACAAGTAGAGAAACGGATAGCGAACAGCATGGATCCTGATCAGACTGCGCGGATGCTCAGGCTGGTCTGGAAACATGCTGGTCGCAAACCTATTATGTTGGTTTTGTCATGGTGCGGCTCATTTTTTTAAAACTCAGATATCTTATGTCGAGCCATATTACTTAATTCATTATTAAGAATATGGACATGTCTTTGAATGTTATATAAATGTCAAATAAGCTAAACATGACAATAATATTATGAAACCAACCTGATAATGGAAACTATATAATAAAATAGACATGTATCTGAACAAAAAAATCCCTTCTGGAACCTATTTGAAAATCAATATTTAATGGTACATATGTACTTGATAACTAACTTGAGACACCAAATATTCCACCAAAACCTGCTAGACAGGAAAGTTTCACTATGTAATATTATTACTGTGAATTCACTTTATTTTGTGGAAATGAAATTTTGGTGATTTGTTATAATTGTGGGTTCTTAAATTTGCGGATTGTTTATTTTCGCAAAGATTAAAATGCAAATTATTCTAACTGCAGACAAAATGAAATTTCTTTGGCTCTAAAAGTTGAGGATTGACCACCCCAAAAATGCCTAAAAATTTAGTGCCCAGCGAATAATGATGATTTTGCAGTATGTAAATGATACTGAATAATGAATTTAAAAGGTAGTCTTCTATTTTTGCACTACAGGCAAAAAATTAATATGAACAATGTCTGCCATCAGTACAAAAGCTCTGTTGGAAGTATAACAAGGCACGTTATACAATGGATAGAGGATTATTTAACTAATGACTGTGGACATTACATTTGATCAAAGTGACAGCAGAAGATAATACAGTTGGTCAGAAATGGCAACAAACATTATGCATGGTCATCTTTGCAAAAGACGTAAAGCTAGGTTCCAACAGTGCTTTTTCAAACTTAATTGGGAAGAAGCCAAAACCTCATGATTTTTGGGGAAATTAACCATTAAAATAGCTAATTTGGAAAGTAAAAAATCTGATGTAGGTTCAGAATTTTGGTAATTATGCATGATTCAAAAGAAACTTTTCAATTGGGAAGTGACCTTTTGAAGGCTTCTGTAATATATCATGAAAAATCACTGTCCATGATCTGAATACATGTATGTACAGTAGCATTAGTTTAAGAAGAGAATTTTTCAGCTTTAAAGCTACATGCCTCCAGATGAGTCAAAATATTTCAATAAATTCAAATTTGAGAAAAATGATCAAAGATGTAAGGAAAAGTAAAAAGTTTCAAGATTAAAGTAATAGTTTACATATTATGTAAGATTAATGACTGATTTTTCAGTATTTACAACTATATTTCTACTGCGTTACTAATGCAAGAAAAAGGCTATTTATGCATATTTTGACCACTTTTTTGGTAATTAACATGGTTTGTAAGTCCCATTGTTAATGTGTAAACTGCTTCCTTTTGGTTACTTCACAATATTACACATTCAAATACATTTTCAAAATTTTCATGAAAATAAGCATGAATCTGGAGGCGTGCTGCTTTACAAAAAGTAAAACTTACCTCTTTTGAGGCCTTATCTCCTAAGGCAGCATACTCCACAGACAGGTGTTTAAATCCCTTTTTTAGGTGAGACCAGGTTTGATTAGAGCCTGTTGCCCAGGATGACACTGGGGTGGCGTCATTACTCATTGCACTGTAAAAATAAAATGGTCATAAAATTTGAAATTAATATCAAACTAAATAAAGGTCCTGAAATATTTAATTGTACTAGTAGTACCAAAAAGTATAATATTATATTGACCAACAAGTGCTCGACTTTCTCAGTGCTTGATAGTAAAACAAGAGCCTGGACAAGTACTTGATGGAAAAAACAAGAGCCTGGACAATGTTGAAAATTAATAAGAGCAAAAAGGCCCATAATTCTGTCAAAATCCATGTAAAAGATCCAGGCCTTGTTCAATGACCGCTTATTATACCCTCAACTAAGTGTGTGCAGTTACAACCCATTCCCTATAGTACTTTGGAGACACGAACTTGCATGCAAAACCTAACCTAAGTGTGTGTGTGTGTGACACTGACAATGACGCCTGGGTGAGTACAATAGTTCTCCCTATTCACCAAACAGTCCAGTTCAAAATATGTATCAAAGTCATTCTTTGTTTTAGGTCTTTCACATAAATTTTCCAAAAATGTTATGCAACACACTCATCATCTTCTTCTGAAATCTGTAATTATTTGCAATATTATACGACCACCCGCATGAGAAAATAACTAATAACATGATTTACTATTTTTATAAATTGACGTATTTGATTTTTAAATACATGTACATGTATCCATTACTATTGCTTCTGAAATTTGCTTATTGATACTTTTTTCATATTTATCTTTAACATTTTTTTATTTTTAACATCAAAGACATCCTTAACATCTTATGATGTCATTTGTTATATAATGTTAAGGGTCGTTTTCTCATGTTGGCATTCATATGCCAGAAAATGCCAATTTCTTAGATGAAAACATGTCCCTGTCAACTGAAAAAATGCCATTGCCTCTGCCTTCAGTTACCTGTAAAATCAGTCACTAAAATAAAAAATATCCAAATTTTGTTTGGCTTTTAGTCACTGGGAAAATGTTAAGGTTGCAATTCTCCATCTGAATTGATTGAGGAAGACCTAAGTTATCACTCTGTGCATTTTCTAACATGGCGTTTCCTTGATTAAAAGTTTTCAAACTGACAGGGGTGAGGGACGTGTGAGCGTAAGTCAGTAACATTTAACATTTGGCCTAAGATGCCCTAACAATTAAATCTAGAACTATCAATAAAGGGGATATATTATTGATTACAAATGGCAATTTTAGCTATATGTCTGTTGATTTGGCCTTTTTAGTTAAGATCATCATTTGCAGTCTAGGTCATAACTCCAGTGTTTAAAATGACAACTTCAAGAATTTTTTAGTCTTAAAAATGATTGTGGGTGTGTGCCTAGTGTAGGGGGGGAAGGGGTGGGATGGTGTCAGAAAATAGTTGAAAACTGAAAGGACATACCTTAATTCCCTGCCAAATTGTAACATATCACTTGCATAACCAGTGGCACGAAGAACCATTCTCTCTGTTATATCTTTTAACTTAGACAGACTATTATATAACATTTTTATATGCTCCTTGCTATTGCTAATCTGTGTTTGAGTATCCATGGGAACCAAATCCTGAAAAACAAATTTGATCAAATAAAGCGCAAAGAGCATTGTTTTGTTTTAAGTTTTAACACTTCTAACATGTAACTCACTAATAAAAAGCCCTTAGTTCAGAAACAGTCATCATATCATATCTGTGCAGTATTAAACAAGCTCTATACTAATGTATCTCATTGTTGTATTATTATATTGAAATCTTGTTACAAATTCAATAAATGTTTTTAAGCAAGTTTAGAGTTAAAAAAAGAAAGAATTACAATAACCCTTGATATTAAAATGACACCATTTGTACAAAATTGCATAAATTATTTTGTACATGATACATCAGTTCAACAATCCAAGTGGGGCCTAGGCAGTTATTGCACATATTGGTTATTTGTTTACTGAGTATTTATACAAGAGGGTTAATGCAGCTTTTTTGTGCATTGACATCTACAGATGCAAGAGGACAAAGTTTAAAGCCCAAGCCCAACAGCATGTGATTTAATAAGTCTGAGGGCAGTCTGAGGGCTTCTGCAGATGTAAATGCATGAAAAAAGGTGTATAAGCACACTTTTTGCATATAAGTATATGTCTAATTAAGTATATGTCTAATTAGTTATCTGTAATTCATATAAAGAAACCATTGCGTGTGTTATGCTTTTCAGATGCCAGTCCGGTGTCATTTGACAGTAATGTTTTGATAATCATTATGAGACTACTGTTGCTTGATAAAAGCACTGTTTGTTGTTTGGATGCGCATCATTATATCATTCAGGCATTTAGTGATAAAATCAGGGCTGTTTAAATATACATTGGTTACTATTTATACTGAAGATATTACCTTTGCTCGGCTTGCTAAATTACTGGTCATAAATTCATCAGGTATTCCTCTAAATGCTTCTCGTATTTTATGCTGCACATCCTGAGAAAATAAACAAATAAAATAAATTATAACTGCATGTATTTAACAAATATTCAGTCATATACTAACAGGTAAGCGTTCCTTAGTTCCTTTTATATATAAAACATATATTAAAAAAAAAAAGAATAGATTTTATGAATTGTTGCTTATCAAAAAGTCATGTAAAAACATGTGCCTTGCCCAAGACTTAAACGAAATGAAAAGATTTAGTGGCAGTAATCACTGAAATCTCTAACTTCTGAGTCAATGGAGTGGATGCTTTTGTATAATTTATACACACGTATTATTTTTTGCATTTACTTATTCATAATATACTGAGTACATAAAGTGCTATATCAAATGCTGTGGGCAACTTGTGAGGTATGATTTTCAATCTACAAAAAGATGAGTTTAAATATCACATAACGATCATTGCTTTTTATTAAATGTCACATTTACAACTTTTCATCAGGAAAGACGTAGTTGTCATATTACTGTGTTCCTAGAAATTTGTTTACCCTTTTTAACTTAGCGCTTTTTGCAGTGTACATTTCCACAATTGGTTGTAGTTAAAAATTTTGTCAATACATAAGCTTTGTCTTGTTCTTTGGGTACAGAGAGAACAAATACAGAAACGTAATTGTGATATAAGTAATAAACATGCTCTTTACCACTGTGTGGCGAGTGACTTAATATTTTCAAAATTCAATGTAGCTATGATTGCATGAAAGTTCGGCTGCACGAAAACACCATCCTTATGAAAAAACAGGAAATATTGTATCACCTTTAATTTAAGTTTCCAAGAATACAGTTTTTGTAAGGCCCTTCCCTACTACAAAACAAGACAATCAATACATGTATATGGGAAGACTCACCCATCCCTACTACAAAACAAGACAATCAATATATGGGAAGACTCCTAGTTCTCAAAGATGAAAACAGTATGGGGAAGAGTTCTTCTTACATTTCCTGTTAATTCTTAGAAAATATCAAGTTATACTAGCTGTTTCATTTTATTTTTTTTGTTTCTTCAATTTAACACAGTTATGGTTACATCCATCTGCCTTTCAAACCAGAATTAATCAATATCTCCACAAATGACTGACCACAAAACCTACATGATTTATAAATAAGAGACCATTATAGACTCAATGCCAAGAATCAGTTTGTGGTGGAGAAATTTTGCCTACAGCAGGATAACACTAAAGACCCCTTTATTTACAAAATCTCATACTCTCCCAACTGAACTAAGCTTACAAGATCACATCTTTTTCCGTGAAATTGTAATATTAAAACCTATTAAAATAAACAACTGATATTTCTTTTATCAAGAGGGCAAATTATATCATAAAATTACAGAAAGTAATTTGAAATATAACAACTTACAGAACCGCTGAAAGACAGAAAGAATTGGACTAGTTTGTCATCGTGCATCTGGGGATGACGTGCAATCAGATTTAAGTACCGTCGTAATGACTTCCTCCTCTGTTCAATAAACTCTCTGTTTGCTGAAATATCAAAATTATACATTTATTAACACAGGCTGGCCTGGCTCAATACTGATGGCATAAGTTAATCATTTTTGGTTCTAGCAGTTTAAGGGTAAATAAATACAATAAAAAAAGGATACATTTTGATGTTATTCTATCAATAGTTGGTTTGACAGTAGATTACAGTACATAAAGATTATGAACAAACAAGCAGTCTAAGACTAAACTATAGACAGAGTTCAAAAGGTACAACTTACAGAGTTCAAAAGGTACTACTAATGTGCTACCAGTTTGTATAAGTCAATCAACAATTTTCAACAAAACAAAATTAAAAACAAAATTAAATATGCACTCAGTAAACCGTTACATAAATTCTTGTTTGTCTAACAATTTACATTGCTTCAATATATTTATTAACTGTCCTAACTACCACACAAAAGCAGTTTAAACAATTCAGACTGAAAAAACTGTACCTTCTAATGTGACGGTCAAAAAAACACTTGTTTAAGTAAACTCTTAGCATCAGGTATGCTGGGGGGTTTTGTGAAATGAGCAGCGCCATGACAAACCAAAGTAATGGGTTTGCGACCAGCATGGATCCAGACCAGCCTACGCATCCATGCAGTCTGATCAGGATCCATGCTGTTCGCTTACCAACTCTATTACAAGTAAAGAAACTGTTAGCAAACAGCATGGATCTTGATCAGACTGCACGGATGCGCAGGCTGGTATGGATCCATGATGGTCGCAAACCCATTATGTTGGTTTTGTCGTGACGCGGCTCAAATGTGCTTTCTTATAATAGAAATCAGTTCTCTTTTTTCTTTAGCACATCTTAAGTCAGTTGTAACCCTTGTTAGCGGAGGCCTGTTACCTTTTATAAGAGTTGATGCACCAGAATTGCAGCAACCATTTATCCCTCCATGATTGTAAGAGGTGACTAATTGTAGTGTTGTCATGTTTATTTGGTTAATGGCCGTGTATGATAGGTTTTTAGCTGAAAACTGCTTATACAAATTCAATAACCAATAACTGAGAATAGTTTTTGACTAAGAAGCTAAAAAGTTTAAAATTAATTTTAAATATTTCCCTTAGTGTTTTATTACAAGGAAGACAATTTGTTTGTATATTAGTTTTACTGAACAATGTATATTTTTTGATCTGATCGAGTATGGTACATTACTGACAGAAAATAGTAAGTTCATGTATATATTAGATATGTATTATAACCATTTTGAAGATAACAAAATCAGAACAAAATGTCATATTTTGTCATAAACATACATGTGACAAATGAAATAGGCCAAATCTGGATTTTCAGCTGGATTTTGAGGCTCAAAACTGGATTTTTGTATTGAGTCGAATTTCAATGCGTGTTTGGCACATTTGGTTCAAAGAATCTATATTACCCTCAAAATCATTAAATAATTATATTTTTTTATGATTTTTTTATGTTGATTTTTTTTTCTAAATATCGGGAATTCAAGCTGTAATATCGGGATCAGTGTCGAAATATCAGGATTTTTTAAAATCCCGCCGGGATGTCACATGTATGCATAAAGAAGCAAAGTTAGTGATAAAAGTCTAAGAATTTAATTTGTACAGTCATTTAAACGTTTAACAAGGTTATCAGGTCGCCGTTTATACAGATAGCATTTTTTCTAACCTAGACACCCCTATCTAATTGTGTTCAAATTACTTGAGTCTTATAATGCACCTCTTAGCTCCAGCAGGTGACCACTGGTGTTGCTTTAAGTTTGTCAGGGACCACTGGTGTTGCTTTAAGTTTGTCAGGGACCACTGGTGTTGCTTTAAGTTTGTCAGGGACCACTGGTGTTGCTTTAAGTTTGTCAGGGACCACTGGTTTTGCTTTAAGTTTTTAACACCAGTGGTTATCCAAAACCAATATTCCTGTCTCAGCACCAATTTATAACCTAAACTGTGTTCAATAAAAATATTAATACGTCAATTTGTGTGTATTTCTTTTGCTTGTATTAGCAAAAAAAAACAACACGTTTTTAGTCATCTTAGGAGCACGGGAATGTTGTTCTTACATAAAGCTTGCTAATATATAAAACATGAGCTCAGATATTTCTATTTTTATTTCTGAATCATAATTGTATAACATTAATGTAGTTTTAGTGCACGTGCCAGCTATCGCAGACCAGGCAAGTCAAGCTTATATCATATCAAAACCATCTGAGAAAAACATTGTTGTGAAAGAATTTGAAAGAAAACATCATTATTTTGAACAGAATTTTATCAAACTTACATATCTTATGTTTTTCTGATACCAGTACAGGTCAAGGTCATACCTGAATTATAAAATATGTCAGTGCTTTCTTAACCTTGTCCTAATAGTTGTGTCTAAATACATGTATTCAAACAATCCATTTTGAAATAACAATGAGTTGTAATTCAAAAAGCATAAAATTAAGTTTTAAGTGAATACAATCAGTTTTCTCGAAGATCTCCCCATGTTTAGAATTGTTTCAGCTATAAAATGTGGAAATTTGAGGGAAAGAAGTTACATCTAGGAATGTGTTTGAAAGACACATATGCCCCAGCTATATATGTTAGGTCACCAAGTGATATGAATAAAAATGTATGACAGGACAGCAATAAGCTAGTATTTCATTGTTTTGTGCAACTAGAACTATCGCTGAATGCGATTCATACCCCCACCAATGTCCTTGACAAAAGACGACTTAGAAACGTGGTTAAGGGAATAACTCAAGTGGCACAAATATATAAAAAGAAATTATCTATGGAGAAAAAAAAGACTTATTGTATAGGTAAAAGTATAAATATTTATTATCAAATCATGTTCGAAACAGTTACGAATAACCTTTCATTTTCCCAATACTAAACTAAGTCTTTTTGTAAGTCAATTTTTGACCTTTAAGTATGTCCTTGACCTTAAGCTGGCACAAGGGTAAGATGGGCTCTGCACAACGCCCAGTTGGGGTGAACATTTGAGTTAAGTTTGAAGAAAATCCTTCCATTAGTAAAGAATTTATAGAGTGGACACAACATATTGTCTAGTATTAATTGTATGTAAATCTAAAGACTTAACAAGAGCTGTCGGTAGGACAGCAACGCTCGACTATTCTTAGTGCTTGATAGTAAAAAAAATGCCTGAAACAGTTACCTCCTCCTGTTTACAGGTTGGGGTCATGATGTTGAACAAGTGTGCAAAGTTTCAAAGCCATATGTCAATGGACTTTGAAAATATTTGAACTATTACAAAAACTTTAACGTAAATTCTAAGTCGAAAAAGGGGCATAATTCTGTCAAAATGCTTGATAGAGTTACCTCCTCCTGTCTACAGGTTGGGGTCATGATGGTGAACAAGTGTGCAAAGTTTCAAAGCCATATGTCAATGGACTTTGAAAATATTTGAACTATTACAAAAACTTTAACGTAAATTCTAAGTCGAAAAAGGGGCATAATTCTGTCAAAATGCTTGATAGAGTTACCTCCTCCTGTCTACAGGTTGGGGTCATGATGGTGAACAAGTGTGCAAAGTTTCAAAGCCATATGTCAATGGACTTTGAAAATATTTGAACTATTACAAAAACTTTAACGTAAATTCTAAGTCGAAAAAGGGGCATAATTCTGTGAAAATGCTTGATAGAGTTTACCTCCTCCTGTCTACAGGTTGGGGTCATGATGGTGAACAAGTGTGCAAAGTTTCAAAGCACTATGTCAATGGACTTGAAAATATTTGAACTATTACAAAAACTTTAACATAAATTCAAAGTCGAAAAAGGGGCATAATTCTGTCAAAATGCTTGATAGAGTTACCTCCTCCTGTCTACAGGTTGGAGTCATGATGGTGAACAAGTGTGCAAAGTTTCAAAGCCATATGTCAATGGACTTTGAAAATATTTGAACTATTACAAAAACTTTAACGTAAATTCTAAGTAAAAAAATGGGCATAATTCTGTCAAAATGCTTGATAGAGTTACCTCCTCCTGTCTACAGGTTGGGGTCATGATGGTGAACAAGTGTGCAAAGTTTCAAAGCCATATGTCAATGGACTTTGAAAATATTTGAACTATTACAAAAACTTTAACATAAGTGGTTACGCCGACGCCGACGCTCGGGTGACTGCAATAGCTCTACTTATTCTTATCGAATAGTCGAGCTAAAAAGGGGCATAACTTTGTCAAAATGCAATACAGAGTTATGAAACTTAACCTGCATATTGTAATTGTGACACCTCATATATCTTTTAAGTTTCAAGCAAATACCTGTGCTAGTTTCAGAAATATTCAAGTACATGTTAAAATTTAAGAACATTTTCTAAGTCAATTTTTGACCTTCAAGTGTGACCTTGACCTGTAGTCGGCACAAAATGGACATGGATTCTGCACATAACCTTGTTGAGATGAACATTTAATAAAGTTTGAAGAAAATTCTTTGTTTGAGTATAGGATTTATAGAGCGGACACAACATATTGCCTAATATTTGATTGTATGTAAATTTGAAGACTCAAAAAAGGGGCATAACTTTGATAAAATGCAATACAGAGTTACGAAACTTGACCAGCATATTTTAATTGTGACCTTTCATATATATATCTTATGTTTCGAGCAAATACCTTTTCTAGATTCAGAAATATTTATATAAATGTAAAAATTTAAGAATATTTTCTAAGTCAATTTTTTACCTTCAAGTGTGACCTTGACCTTAAGCCGACAAAAGGGTGGCATGGGTTCTGCACATCCCCTTGTTGAGGTGAACATTTGAGCCAAGATTAAAGAAAATCTTTCAATTAGTGTAGGACTTACAGAGCGACACGACATACTGTCTAATATTTGATTGTTTGATATTTGACCTTAAATTGTGACCTTGACCTTGAGCTGACACATGGGCAACATGGGTTCTTCACATTTCCTTGTTGACGTGAACATTTGAGCCAAGTTTGATGAAAATCTTTCAATTAGTGAAGGACTTACAGAGCGGGCACGACATATTGTGTAATATTTGATTGTTTGATATTTGACCTTCAATTTTGACCTTGACCTTGAGCTGACACATGGGCAACATGGGTTCTGCACATCCCCTTGTTGAGGTGAACATTTGAGCCAAGTTTAAAGAAAATCTTTCAATAAGTGTAGGAGTTACAGAGTTACACATAAGGCCATAATTTAGAGTGGCACACAAGGCCTTAACTTTAGAGTGACACACAATGCCTTAACTTTAGAGTGACAGAGCACAACTTTCTCATTTTATTCTACTTTAGGGCATATAAAGCATTGATTATCAAACTGCCAGGATAACAAGGACTCATTTTGCTAAATACTTTTGCCAAAACCACCGGATGCATGACATAGTTTAACTGCTGACCTTAGACCTCTGATGTGACCTTGACCTTAAAGCTACAGGTCTAGGTCTTGATATGCACACCATCTTATCATGCTTTTAATTTGTTATATCAAAATCCCTTGATGCATGAAAGATTTATGGGCTGGACAAGATTTTTTAACTGCTGACCTTGACCTTGGAGCTAGTTCATCATGTTACACAATTTTGCCAAGTTACAAGGGTAACACTATACAAACCCCTTTTGCCATTATCATGGAAAGGCTGTAACAAAAACCAAATTATTAATTTCAATACAATTTTGGTGAAAATGTTAACAGGAGACATCTTAAAACCCTTAAATCAATAGACTATGGTACTATGATAATAAAAACAGTACTTACCACAATAAATACTCATTTTTCAATGTTTACAATGAATTTCAAAAATAAAGTGCTACAATAAAATTATACCAACCTCCCATCATTTTCTTTGGTGGTAGTCTTGGAATGGATCGATAAGGAAATCTCATTAAAAGCAGCTCGTGAAATGCTAGAAAGTCATTATATCTACGTAGAGTTGTTGCTTTATATCTCTGAAACAAAAACAAAATAACAGCGTGTGCATTATTATTAGGTTATTAACCAAACTTCTGTACAATACAGATATATACCTGGGTAAAAACCCAAACTTTACGAATCATACTGAACGAAGTCCAGTTTTACCGCTGGGTATAAGTCTAAATACATTTGAGCCGTGTCACGACAAAACCAACATAATGGGTTTGCAACCAGCATGGATCCAGACCAGCCTGCACATCCCCGCATTCTGATCAGGATCCATGCTGTTCGCTTACCAACCCTATTACAAGTAGAGAAACTGATAGCGAACAGCATGGATCCTGATCAGACTGCGCGGATACCTGAAATCTCAACTTTATCATTATATATATATTGTTTTTACTCCCTACTTCATATTTTTGGGGATATCATTCACTACAGTGCTGGAGCAGAACATATAGGCGCTCCTAGAAGATCAAGATCACAAAGTAAAAAATTATCACTTTTTTCACCAATTCTTACATTTTTCATTCATTATCGTATGTAAATCTGTGTGAAGAGATAAATTAGATGTTTTAAAGTTAATTTCATTGGGTAAAAATGTTAGATTTTAGAATTTAATCATTCAAGCACCTTGTCTGGTAATTACTAGAATAGGGTATTTAGTGTGGTGCACCAACATTTTTTTAGTTTTACTCTCATTTTTTAATCCAGCCAACTGCAAGCACTAATCACTAAATAAGAGCCATAAACAAAGTAAACTTGATGACCCCCTCAGGCAGCTAGTTTCCTTCAAATGGCCATACTGTTAACAAAACATGTTTTTCTCTTCCTATCCCATCACTGTTTCATATAATTCGCTAATTGATATATCACAATTTTAGGGAAGGAACTATTTATTTGAAGATTATAATCTCCAGGAGGGCTCTTGTTTTCCTTCATTTGAATTGCTAAACATTTCTTTACATGATATTACATAACCAAACAATAGATACATAGTTATACAGTAAATACTGTGATGTGAAACTAGAAATATTGTATTTTTCTGGGCTCATAAAAAGTTATATTTAAACAATATCAGACCAAAACAAAAGAGCGGGCCTGAGTTACAAATGGGTTTTGTTAATGTAGTTTTTTATTTAAGGGCGGTTGTTTAGCACAGGTAGAACTATTCATTTTTGTTTACCTGACTAGTGACTTCATATTCCACATGTTTTAAGATAAGGCCTTTCTTCTCTGGCAGGAGTTCTACTTTAACCGTGTCAAGTTCAAGTAGTTCACTGTATGTGAATCCGAGAACATTCGGAGATTTTTCTCGTCGCAATCTAACGCTTGCTGACCGCAAATCAGAGAGATCACCTAACGTCGGTTTAGGCAATTCTGTTAAAACAAAACAATAATTTTCCGTAAAAGATTATTCCAATTATCACATTTTGATATGATTAAGGTGAAATTCTAGTAAATCATGCACTTTTGGGAATAGCCCAGTGAAAAATCATGCACTTTTGGGAATAGCCCAGTGAAAAATAATATAAGTAATAATATAAGTATTAAAAATATTTCATTTTAATCACAACAGATTAAATTTTGTTTCAACAAGGGCAATGTCAATAAGACACTCAACTACATAAAACACTTTCTGTTCTTTTGAAAATCTGTGTTAAAGGAACTTCATTGAGGTTCAAAAGCCTAAAAGCATAAAATTTGAATTTCTTACATAGAGCAGCTAAGGCATTAAAAACAGAAAGATATGCTAAAGATAATGAAGAATAATTTACACAGAATTTAATTAAAAATTCTATTTTTGAGCCCATTTAAGACTGAATTGAGTGAAAAGGGTTACAATGTTTTTCAGAATTGGGTTATTTTTTCGAAATAATAATAATTATTCTGGAAAAACAGAGTGAGCAAATGATCTGAATTTTTGCACATAAGTTATTGGTCCCGACCCACATCAAATGGAAAATTAATATTGAAAATTTATTCCAAGTTCTGTCATGCAAAAACCTTCCGTGGAGTTCCTTTAATAGAGTTGGTCTTAATTGTGAGGTGATCATAGGTTGCTTTTCTACTGTGATTATAATTATAACAGAATATACCTTGTCCTGAGAAAGTTTCCAGCAGTTTATCATTGATGTTTTTTCCTTGTTGTGCTAATGCGGTCAATGCTAATGCTTTATATAGGCCATTTCTCGTCAGAAATCCTTGCTTGCTGTCAACAGCTTCCCATATCTGAAACATACAATTATTGTGTTCATGTTTAAGTTTATGTCTCTTTCTGACCCTTGAAATTGACCATGTTTTTTCAAATAGAATGGTCTGGAAACACACTATATAAACCCTTCTCTCTACAATTAAACATGTGTATGTATAACTCAGTATAGTTTGCTATACACAAATTATGTAAGTGTTCAAGAAACAGGCATTTTAACATACAGTATAGTATAAGAGCAAAAAATGAAAATTTTAACAACATGATGTGATTTAAAAATCTTTAAACTTGTGAAAAAAGGATAAATATTTTAGAAAATAATGTTTTTAAAGCCATATTTGTTGAAAAACATAGATTGCTTGTACAGAATATTTGCCGGTAAACGGCGCCATTTTGAAAATGCACCAATTTAAACATCAAATATTTGCAAGAAACATCGTGAAATATTATAATATTTTTACATGATACGATACAATAACATTTTTTCTCTGTAAAATCAATTTCTATTTTGTCATTGAACAATGTATAAATTTTAAAAAAGCTCATGAAACTCAGACCTATTTTCAAATATGAGCAATAGATTTTTACCTTGACACCGGGACAAAAGATTCTTAATTTCACTACAAATCTATAAAATTGTTACTTTTAAAGTAAAATCTGATAATGTTACAATATAGTCAGAGTTAAGCTTTTAATAATTTTTTGATTAATTTAACAAAACATTATCTTATAATTTGATTTTTGAATGGCGATGTACTATGCCAGATCACGGTCTGTAGATAACCCAATCACGTGACTCAACTGAGACAGCTTTTTTCGTAAAATTGGTCTGACTCCAGACCATTCTATTTGAAAGACCATGAAATGACTGATAACAGAGTTTACAAAATGGTTGTAAAAAATTTTTATTCAAAAATCATTATATAAGCAGAAGTTCAAATTTGTCCTCCACTTGTTTATGTACCAATGTACAATGGCGAAATGTTAAATTATCATGCTCAGATGTTATTTCAAAGGATTAATTGTAGAGTTGTCATTAATAGAAACATTATGGATGAAATCGATACAACATGTATATCTTTGATAATTGCCTTGCCTTGAATCAATGACGGCTCTAATTAATTGAACGAAGACAATACTCAGCTTATTCCCATTGTTAGTATAAAGTCCTGAGTATGCAGACTTCTTATTTTTAAATACCATTATGTCCCCAGAATTTATGCTAAGACCAGCCTTAAAAAAATATATGTTTGCAGTTAACGCGACCGACTCATGAAATTTACCCCGACTCAAACATTTTTTTATTGTCTGGGGAAATTTTGTTTATTTTCACAGAAAATTACGATTTGTGCTTTCTTTTTGTTCTTTTAAAGTAAAAGTCCTTTTAGCTTTCTTAAATCCAAAATGGCGTTGCCAATCTAAATGAAAAGTTCATGTAGAAAAAATACAATGTTGTTCTTATAAAATTAGCATTCAGTTATTAATTCATCAATTGTTACCAGATTATCAAAGCATATATTGTTGAGCATTTTGAAATTCCATGTCTAGTTGGGAGTGCAGTTCAATAACAAAAAAAAAATCCATCTACCTGTAACCCACCTTGAAAATTCTGGGTCAGGTTACTGCATACAAACATTTTTTTAAGGATGGCCTTTTTTAATGAAAATTTTGGAATTGTATTGAAAAATTAAACCTCAGTTAATTACCAAAAAGAGCCAAAATAGCCCATGCAGTAACTCAGTAGAAATATGGTGATAATAAAATATTGCGAAATCAGCCATTAATCACATTTTACATGTAAATTATCACTTAAATTTAAATCTTTTTACTTTTTTTTAAAATCTTACTGCATTTTTCTCAAGTTTGAATTTCTTGAAATACATGTAATTTGTCTCATCTGGAGGCATGCAGCTTTTTAAATAAATCTTTGAACAAAAATTTTAAGAAAAATATCAATCATAAAAATAATGAACATAATGACATTCAATAACCAATGTACAAGCCTTTTGACAAGTTACTTTATATAACATACACATGTATATAGTGAGAGAGATCCAGGATGACTCACTTTCTGTTAATAGTGCTTCAATATTCAAACTGGGAAAACAAAAGTTTGTATGTTATGAATGTTGTCACGAACAGGCTCATATAAAGAAATTAAAATATAAGAAATGTCAATAACAACCACCTGTGTTTTTTCAATATAATATGATTAATCAGAGATCACATGTGTTGCCTGATGACAATTCAGCAAATGCATGGAGGGGTGCTTGGAAAGTTCATATACTGTGAGTTCCCTTATGATATGTTGCGGCTACTACTTAAAGTTGCAGCATGTTGCAGCGGAAATGCTAATGATATGTAAATTTAACTTAGTACTGATCATTCCTGCTAAGTTTGGATAAAACTGCACCAGTAATTTTTTAGGAGTAGTCTGGACAAGTTTTATAACAGACAGACAGACAAACAGAGAGCTTGAAACACAGACAGACAGACAGACAAAGAGACATACATTTAAAAAGCAACATTTAAGTACATTTTTAATGCATTGATCTAATGGGTCACTAACCCTTAGCCTGACAGCTGCAACAGAAATTCTACCAGTGCAACCAATATGATCAGTGGTCACCAATGTGCTGAGAGATCATGGCCCACACTGCTTGCTATTCTAACAGTCAATATATACCCTATTTTTAAATTTCCCTCAAATGATAAATGGGTTTAGTCCAGATTGACAGATGGACAAGTCCATTTAAGATATTCAGTGTGGTAATGTTACTGCAAACATTTAAACATTATGATACAAATTTCCAGTGCGCTAAAAATAAATTAGACCTTAATTATTTCTATGTCAAGTGTCACCTTCCTGTAAAAACCTTATTAGTTATAGTGATTTCCTATAATGTTCTGTTATTTCAGTTAATCTAATGTAACAATACTTATTATTAATATATTTATGAACAAAACTAAATCCTTATCTGTGGTAAACATACATATATGGTATATGCACTCTGAAATTTTATCTCTTTATAATCAGGAGTGTAAATATTCAGTCAGTATATATTTTGAAATTTTCCCTAAAAAAGATGGTTTTGTCCAGATTAAAAGATGGTCATGTCCATTTATGATAGCCATTCAGATTGTAAGTGGGTTTTTTTAAAGTGTGACAATAAATAGTCACTGATTTTTACAATGTCTTTCCCTTGCAAAAATCCAGAGTCATTTTGAGGGACAATATTCTATATATTATTCATGTAATTGACAATTCAATATGAAAACATCAATTTAAATGGCTGACTATCATTTTGCCGTGAATTGTCAACTTCTTTGATACATATGAAGGAAAATATCATTATAATACCATTATACTGTAGTACCCGTACCCCACCCACTGTTTTTTCCATTACGTTGTATTTTTTCTGAGGTTTCATATTATTCATGTATAATCAAAAGATAAATAAGGTATTGCATATCAAGTAGTTGGTTACCTTTTATCTGTCTGAAGATTTAAAATAGTTAATACTTATTGTTCTGCTGCATATTTTCAGTAGATATTTTTTACCCTAGTCAGTATTGTATTTACAGCGGCCATATTGTTCCGGTCTCGTTTTTTCTCATCTGACGTTATTTGTTCGTGAGCGCTATTTTTAGCTCAAAAGTTATTCACCCACCAAATTTGAATTGATAAATTCATTTAAAGGTAATTATAGACATTCTTGTTAGCAACTTTATGATAAATTGTCCATTTAATTATTATTCATTTCTGTGTATTTACATGTATAAGATTTTGTATGCATTTGTTGCAACGTTACACAGTTGGAAGCCTGACATTGTTGGAGACCCTTTGGTGCCTCTTCCAACAATGTTGGAACGTCCAACAGCGTTCGTTGGGATGTTGGACTGTTGGAAATTGTAGGGGCTATATATAGGCGTGGTCGGCCATTTTGGGGCACTTCCACATTTTCAACTTTTAAGAGCGCCATATTCTTCAGTATCTTTGAATTTTAATTAAAATCTGGAATCTTATTACTTCGGAAACTCATGTAAAGGTAGATAGCTTGTTTTTTAATGCATATGGTGCTCATTTATTAATTTTAAAGATTAGTTTTGAGTTTTGTAGGCACTTGATATAATACTAAGATAGATATATTTTTTTTAAATTACTTCAGTTCAGAATTTTCTAAAAATGTTATAGATTTAAATACTTAAGCCTGTTGTAGATTCTATATTATAAGTTTCTGCTTAATAGATATTTGTTGGTCACACATAGCCCCCGTGCGGAATTTTGAAAACGTGTATTTCTTTTAACTTCGGGTTTTTTTTCTTATTTATTGTTAACGAGTTGCCATAACTGAATGTGTTATTTCTTTATGATCTTCTTCAGAATAATTGCTTCAATATTGTTAAGGCATCTTTAAAATAAATTTTAAAATTGTCAGAGCATCTTATTTTTTTGTCCAGTCATAATTAATATTTCAATCTTTAGTTTGTGGAAGTCACACCCCTCCCCCCCTTTTTATCCTGAGAATGCTGTAGACCGGGAAGGCATTACAGCTGCGCACTGGCAAGCTAGCAAACGTGCATATATATTTTTAAACGTCATCGCCGTCTGTTAGCTAGCCAAGTAGCCCCCACATCCTACATCTGAACAGCAAGCAAAGCAAGATACCTCACAGCGCTACCAAGTGGCCCAGACTAGAGTACTCAGGCTCGTAACAATACCAATACATTTTAGATTTTTTTCAGTTTTCATGAAAATGATAGAATTATCCAAGAAAATTATCTTAAGGGTATAATATATTGGGAATGACCTTAAAATTGTGGCCAGGGTCGGTAATAATTGCTATGTGAAAAAGCACCTACAAATTATCTGTACCTAAAATATATCTAAGAAATAACTAAATAGAAATTATCAGTTTATATAAACCTTATTTGATATGAAACATGTGTATAGGTTACAGAATGACTCAACAAAGACAATGGTGAATTTAAAGCCTTAAAAGACATCTTATTTAGTTACTGCTAGTCAAGAAAATGTTCTTCCACATGGAAGTTAAAATACAGTACAACTTCTACAGAACAATATCTTGAAGACCGAGATTTTGGTTGCTACTGAAAGACACTGATTTAGAGAGATTATTTTTTATTTTTAAGTTTTATTTTGGGAAGAATTCTACTCTACAAAGGGTCGCTTTACAACAGCTGTACTGTACATGTAAATTATGCTTGATAAGGATATTCTTTTATCATCTTCTTATCAATGCAAAGTCTGTTGAATCATGTACACGTAACTTTTTATCTCTAGATTGTAATATTCTAACCTTCTTTTCAATTATGGGAGATTACTTTACCATAACATTGTTAACACTCAAAACAGTCAAAATTCTTCATACTTTTTATTTCCTTAGTCTAAACCTTTTCTAAATCTTTCGTCCAAAATTTTAAAACATTTTGCAGTAAAATGGTAATGCCTGAATTTTACCATTACAAGTATATCTTCCTCAATATCACTTAAACGCTTCTCTTATCTGAAATTTACAGCTAAAGGAAAGTAGATAAAATCCATTAAAATTTCAATAAAATGCTATCTCTTAATTACAATGACATAACGATCATTTTTTAATGTCAAGCTGACCTTTATTGACTATATATTTCAAAAGATTGACTGTTATAATAGCAATTGACCAGTTGATACTGGAAAATGTTTAATATAAATATAATGAAAAATATAAATTTTCATAAAATATAAAAAGACAGTCTTTTTACAAAATTGGAATGTACAAGTTAATTCTGATGGAAATTTATAGAAATTTCATTGGGTAATGTGAATTATTCAGCGTTCATGCAAAACTAATTATCAAATTGAAAGGAATTGTGGCAAAATGTAAACTTAAATTTCACCTGTTCCTTCACTTTATACCCTTGAAAGGGCATAATTTGTCACTTTAACTAATGATAAGTTGTGTTAAATTCCAACATAACATGTCACATAACAATTAGCTTGATGACTGGAGTTTAACTGATTAGAGCATAATTAAATAATTAATATACTGAGTGTACATAGTTGTATTATAAGATAGCTTATAATATTTAGCATTCATTTTCATAAATTTATACAAACTTCAAATTGAACCAACACTATTTTCAATAAACACATTGTATTGTTATAATGTTAAGGTGTAAGTAATTAACACTCTGTCCCACTTTCAAGTACTTTATGATAATGAGTGCCAGTAACCACTGTATCAGGTCATTTTATATGTGCAGAACAACCATGTAAAGAATGTGATAATTTAGTGTTTTACAACAAATGCTTCTTTAGATATTAAACATATCTTGTATAAATTTTAAAGAGTACATATGTACTTTTAAACCACTATTATACTTGTAATAATTACATGTATGCATTGCTGTTTCATCACACTATGTCTTGTATTATCAGAACAACTTTAATTTTATGTTTTAATATACAGAATTGAAATCAATGAATTCAAATATGAATATTTCATTGTTTTTGAAATGATTAATACAGTTTTTGAAATGTCGGTTCCAGAAGAATTTTAGCGTTCTCCCCAACTACCAACAGTATTTAACCAGCAATCATCTTACTATAGGAGGTATTTTTCTTTAAATTTCAAACTGCTCAATTAATCACACAAAATTTCAGTCACTATTGCCAATAATAAAGATTTAAGATTATGTTTCATACATGAGAAGAGGGTGGAGGTGGCAGTAATATAATGGTAAAGAAGTCAGCCTCTCAACTCAAGGATTCCTATAGTTTATATGAAACCAATACTGTTCAAGAAATCAGAATAAAAATGATTATTTATCTATAATAAATATCATGTTTAAGCTGAAATATGAGTTCTTTTAAATTCAAAAAGGGTCCAACCATCTTTTTATGCAGGAACAAACTGTCACTGAAGTCAGGGTCAAGTCATTATAGGGCAAATAGTCAGGGGACAAATCCTTATATCATCCCACAGGATTAAAATTTGACTTTTAAATCAACAAACCTTAAATTTAATTTTCATCATGCATAGACAAACAGATGTTTAAATTCTTGCTCAATGTGTCCATAACAAGGGTTACAATTGTATACTATGTTAGACTATTTTTAATAAGATAAAAATATTTAATTAATGACTATGGCTTTTCAACTTTCTTTTGGTAATATTTTTACCATTACCTTTGGTAACTTGTTTCTCATTAACCTATTCAACTCTTTGATATGTTTTGGTCTCTGTCAGTCATTGATTAAATTAACAGTCTGTTTTAATGTCCACACTCTTTCTTGATATTTATTGTTGTTGTCACCGTTCTAAGAAGAAAATTCTAATAACTACATTTGTAGTTTAGACAAGAAGAAAAATCTTGTAATATTTTATGTCATCTAAAACAATTTTAATCATGTAGCAGGAGACATCAATCTAGAGTACACATGTTTAGGGTAGTGATCTTGGGTACCACAGTACTTGCTAATAATAAAAATAGTTACTTCTATTAATTCATTTTAACTCAAAGTTTGAGTCAAACAGTTTCAAACGTTGGGGTACATGTACCCACTGTCATTTGAAAATCAGGGGTACATTTCAAAATCTGGGGGTACACAGAAGTTTAAATGTGTTTTTTTTTGTTTGTAAGAACATTTTAGTCAACACGATATTAATGAACAGCTGTTTCACTTAGTATTACTACCAACTAACACAGACACGCACTCTCATGATTTAAGGTACCAATATATATATCAGCCATTACAATCACTGATCTTTTGTTTAGTCCATACGCTTATTACCAATAACCAAAATTTTGTATAACCAAAATTATGTACACTTATTTCAAAAGGTCAATTGTTTATATTTTAATTTCATATGACATTTGTAAAGCTCACAATTGAAGTTAATTGTTCAAAAAATCAAGTGACTAACTTTTTGTTTATCATTTGTGAACTAAAAATACTTTTTGGCAGTTGTAAATATCCAAAACTTTTTTTCTTAAGACAGTACATGTGACGTCTAGACGTGGCTAAAATATTTACAAATCAGACTGAGATGACTTTTTGAAAGCAGACATGCAATTGAGACCGAGTTTAGACTGTTCCTAACAATAGGTAGATGGCAATGACATTTAATTGATATGCATATAAGGCTATCCCAAACATTCATTCTGATGATTTTACTTTGCGTGCATGTACCCCTTGCTTACAACTTTTATGTGTGCACATAGAATTTTGTGTGTGAATTACGCACTGTATTGCGTGAATGGGCATGCTGGTCAAAGATAAAAGTCAACAACATTCAGCTTAATCTGTCATGTAAAGATTGAACTATTGTCATACATATTGTATGTTTGCTTACTAGCACACCTTCAGGTGACTGCATTGTTCTCGGAAACAGCAATATTTTTAAACAGACAAATGGACATTGCATGTCCTGATTTTTCAGTTACAGATGAAATGCTCAACAAATAAAGAGTTTTTACTGAACTGATGGTCTGACTATAAGAGACAATTAATCAGACCTGTCAAACTTTTACTTCACAAGTCTGTGGGGAATCCGGGTCAGCTCGGCCCTAAAACGTACTCGGCCCCCGAGTCAGCTCGGCCCTATTCCAACTCGGCACGGGTCAACTCGGCCCACTTTTCAATTATTAATATTTAGGTTTGTGTTAACACTATTTATTGTAATTATTGTAATTATTTATAATACACGGATTGACAGTTTCGAACTAGCAGCAGACAAGCTTTTCTTATCAGTAGAATTGCGAGTAAAGATAAACGATTGCGTATCTCACTGTATTTCTACATATTTAACTTCTGTTCTGTTCTTTATTACTTTAACTAGATAATGCACAGACAAGGTCTTTCTATTTGATAGAAGAAAAAAAAACGTATGACACGTGTAAATGAATTTCGGCAACAATCAATGCGCTTATACGGAAGATTTAATTAGAAGCTTATGATATTAAGTAAACACGTTTTTGTTTCATTTTTTTTTTAAATATTACTTTACAAACACATTTTATTAGAATCTAGATCTATATAAATTTTATCGAATCTGCAAGACAGATAAATAACTTTTTTTTTCTAAATATACTTTATTTCAGAAGAAGTACAATGTATAATTATATAATAATAAGATATTTCTTATTATTCATTTACCTTAACAACATGCATAGCAAAGTTAATACGTTATACATATTTTTGTGAAGTGGGCCGAGTTGACCCGTGCCGAGTTGACCCGTGCCGAGTTGGTATAGGGCCGAGTTGACTCTTTTCCGTCTGTGGGTGTGTCAGTCTTTCACTTTTACTGACTAGCAACTACTAGAGAACTAGCGGTGATTATCTATTTTCAAATGCAATTGCATGCAAAATTATTTAATAATATTCATAATTTACCTGCATAACTGTAGTTCTTGGTAAACTGGACTGTACCAGTATCTGCACAAACATATCTTGATCAACATGTTCTTGATTTGGACAGACTATATCGTAAACTTCTCTATAAAATGGAGGCACCGACCCTAAAATATCAAAAAGAGATGTTTTAAAGAAGGGATAAAACAGATATAAAGATAATAAAGCATTGTCATTAATCAAAATTCTTATTCATGCTGGAAAACACTTAAAATATACGTGTGACAATTGCACTCACCGAATGATAGGTCGGCCGACATTTTGTTTTGATCATGTGACCTGCCGCCCCCTTCAGGTTGAAGGCCTCTATTTACTTTTCTTTTAGAGGTAAAGGCTCGAGCTCTTAGAGCTTATGTTGTACTGTTGTAAAATTAAACTTATCTTATCTTAACATTAAATGACATTCAAATGAGATAAACGAAGTATTGTAATAAAAACCTTATTTACACATCTACAGTGTATTGACAAAGTTGAGATGATCCAGAGACGCGCAATAAGATGAGTTAAAAGGATTACTCCCCTCACTCTAGTGTCACAGCCATGGAGGAAGAACTGGGCTGGCGATCCCTTGAACATCGCAGATTGGACTGTAGACTGATAATGTTTTATAAGATATACCATAACCTAGTTGCAATTAATCTCCCAACTTATGTTCAAACCCCACATAGATTAACCAGACATATGCATCCCTTATCCCTACGCCAAATACAGGTATCCTCTGACTACCATAAGTACTCTTTCTTCCCTCATAGCATTATACTATGGAATAAACTTCCTAGTAACATTGCCACCCTGCCCAACCTGAGTCAGTTCAAACAGGCAGTGGTGGGTTTGCAGTACTAGTCTTACTCCCAGTGTTTTTAAACTACATTTTATCTCTTATCATATTGTTTCACTATCATTTTAACCATGACTAGAATACATTTTCAGTCTCACCTTCCAAGCATGTCAATGTTTGGACTTTTCTTTTCTAGCTTTTCTTTTCACCTTTTACTAACAATCCGACGTGCACTAAATTCCTGCCTTTAACACTCGTAAGAGGGGTTGGCAGTATCCAGAGATAGATAGATAGTGTACAGTATATCTTACAATGAATCAAAGTGTGTGTTTAAAAACAAAATTAAAGCTCTATACGTATATACTCATCCATTCTCACAAGAGTTAGTATAATAATTTTTTCATATCAAGAAATTGAGAACATTTTTTTGTATTTCTTATGTGAAGAGAATAAAAAAATAGAAATGATTAAAAAATGTTTTGTTCGAGAATAGCCTCAAATGAAAGCTTTAGGTTTTTCCATACATTACATGTACATATCCGTTTATATGCATACAGTATCGACAATAAATAAATTTTGATTTGATTTGAGTACTTCCTAGGTATGTCAGTAGGAAGGTCCGATGACAATGGCTATTAGGATAAATGAGTACATGTGCATTTCATATATAATCTCATAGTGAATGTGGATCTTTTTTAACAAAATAAATGTAGGTTAATCTACTTTTTCAAAACATTTATATCTCATTCATGAATATGAAAGGGATAATGAACTATATTCAAATGAATGACATATTATTGATTCAAAGGCTGCTGGTTTGATTCCATGGCTGGTTAAGTGATACTATTTTATTTGTATTTTTTGTGACATTTGGAAAACTTTGTTAATACACCATATCTAGAAGTTATTTCTGCAAATATATAAATAAGTACAAAAATGTTTGGTCAATCAAGCATTTATTTCTACTAAAATAATCCTTATAATCGAATTTGAATTTGAATATATGGTGAGATGTCAGAAACATGGTCAAAAGTATGAAAAGATGAAATGATATTATATGACGAGACTAAATGTTAAAGGTCCTGTACATAACACATTTTTTATGGATTTATATAAACAAATATGATACTCAAATTAAGATTTATCAATATTGTAAGTTCCAAAAAGCATTATTTACAAAGATATTACCGAAATTAATATTTCATGTAAACAAAGGGAGGTAGGCCTAATTAGAAATTTGTTTTCTATAAATTCTAAGTCAAATTTTCCAATAAGAAATGAATGCATATAATTTAAAATGATTACATTTAATAGATGTATGTACAAATATTTGCAGTACATATTTGACATATTCTTCGATGTTTGAAAATTGTTGTATTAGCATAATTATATACATATATAATTTCACGTAAGAGTGGTATACAACCTCTTTTACAAAACAAACAGGATCTTTAATTAAAAGTTTCCGAAAAGATACCAAGTAAATAAAGGGTACAAAATTAGTTTAAATACATGTGTACATTTATCTTTATCTAAGAACATATGTAAACTTAAACTATCAATGAAACACTGTATTTGTTTTGCAGCTACATGTATGTTTAGATCTATAATCATGACTATTGGGAATGCCTTAATTATTAAGATAGTTGCTTCCAGATGGTTCGGGTCATTTGAAACACTGGTATGTTCAAGAGAAAATAGTAATTACATTTTTTAAATAATAAATAGGGAACAAGAGTCTATCTATCCATACATCTTAACAACTGCCTTCTTGAACTGGTCAATATAAGAATGAGAAACAATGTTACTTAGAAACTGATCCCTGGTGTGATACTGCATAGAAAAAAGAGAACGTGTGGTAGTTCATTTTCATCTTGTATTTTCCAGAGAGAAAGAGGGTGTTATGTATAATAAAATAAGTGTGTATATATATGTTAGGGGTTAGCTAGGCTAGTGGCTAATAGTGTTTGAAGAACATAATTAAGTCCAATGTCTAGTCTGCGATGCTAACGTGAACACCACTGAAAAACTTCCTTCATGTCTGCTACCTTACCAATGCCAATGGGGAAAAATAGGTTTTGCCAAACGCGAGACTCGTTCCCGGACAATTTCTGTTCTTTAAAATATCTGATTACATGTGTATTGTCTCCACACATATTTTAACTGTGGTCATACTAGTATCTGGTCCTTGTTTATTCCTTAATTATTACAATTTTCAAATTAAAGAGAACATAAGTATTTTAAGAGAACAATTTCCTGCTTTAGTAGAGCCTGCGCACGATCACGTAAAAACAACAAGTTTGCTTCTTTAAAAAGAAGCATGCGAGAGGTATTTTTGCTGCTGTGGTAGATTTGTTTAATTCGAAAATATTTGGGGATATTATATGGCATAAAAGACACAATGGATGATTATAAATTACAATTATTAAACAAAATAGAATTTATTATATATATTGCAATGAAAGTTTGTTTTACACTTCATCTTTTTTAATGTTCTAAAAAAATTATATGCCGGAGAAATGGACTTTTTTTCTTGGCGCATTAGGGATACATTTTCTACAAAAAAAAATGTAAAACTATTTAATATATGTTAATCAAACAATTTCAAGTCCAGGGTTTACATAAAAAATGTTAATATCATTTGATTGAAATTAACAGTATACAGTGTTATATACTATTGGAATCAACAGTATATAAAGATGCATGCCTCCAACCACAATTATTATTAATATTAGAAGAAAATAAAACTTGAGGTAAAATTTGTGCCATTTGCGCCAAAAAAATTCACTTTGCGTTATTCAGACATACCGGTTCAATACACGGTTCATTCGGTCATATAATAGTGTTTGTTTGTTTCATTTCACGCCTTTTCCTAACAGTATTTCAGTCATATAGGCGGGTAGTTTCCTCATCATCGTTCCTGGAGAGTTACACCAGTACTAGACAACCTTTCTCCGCGCTAAATTAACCAAAACATCTCCTGGGGATCGAACCCACGCCAGAGAGGTAACTGGATTAGAAGTCATCGACTCTAACCCCTCGACCACGGAGGCGGTATACATAATGCTTGTTGATATTGTAGCTATCATGTTCACTGTTACTATTTATCGGAGCATAAAATAGTAAAACGTTATTCAGAAAACAATACGGTAATCGATTTATAAAGTTTAAAAGATTAAACGGAATGAAACATCCACGTAGTGCTAAGTAACGTAAATGATATTTTCCGATTTTTCTATGTACCGATTTTTTCACTTCGATGTTAATTTTTCGTTTAAGTTAAGTCGTATTTTGAAACGGGGCATGCGCAAAACAATTTTTGTAGACTGCTCCTAATGATTTTACGCTTAAAATGAGATTCATTCACTACAATCAGATACGCAAAAATGGATGCCGCCAGCAATCAGTCTGAACACTATGGAGAGGTCTGATGACCTCTCCAATAATTGTATAGAGGTGTTATACCCAAATCCTAAATTTAGTACTTTACATCCTACAAGCAGCTATTATGCTCTCTAAATCAAAGTGTCATAAATTAGTATTTATAAGTGTTTTCAAATATTATTAGACTCCTTGTGTAACGATAATAAAAAATATAATCTCTTTGACATACTTGAAAATAAATTGCATATTACATTTCAAGATCATGTTTGAAATTGATAAATTTGGGTAGAGATTATCCCACTAGCAATGGTTGCTTTGTTTACATCTGTGTTGCTTCCACAGTTGCATGAAAACGACATACTTTGAAAATATCCTTGTTGCATCAGTTACAGAGCCACAAACTATAGCATAATTTGTTTAAATTTCAATATATTTAGTGATACCGGCATTACACAAACGTGTAATATTTCTATAAAACCCGGTTTGTTTTTGTCAAGTTTGGACTTGAGAAAAGGGCACCTGTTGATAATTTTTATCAAAGTAACATTGTAATGTATATCCCTGAATGCTTGTCAACTTGATTTAGTGTTTGGAACTGAAAGGAATGCCAGGAAAATATAAGGTGAAAACAATTTAATCCTGTTGATATGATTAATAAGACCACCTATAGGCTAAACTTAAAAATCTTGAACATTTAAAGACATATCATATGGCAAATCTCTGTTACTGTTAGTTTCTTTTATTTGTTTTCATGTCTCTTTTTGGTGATAAATACAGTTGTATGTATACATTTGTTTAAACCTGATCGTAGTGACAGTTTATTTGAATCACTTTGGAATCTTTGTTCTGGTACTGAACATTGCACTGTGCAAAAATGCATGGTGTCATAAGACTATAAGAGGAAACAAATGGTATTGACCCCACTCAACCAGAGTAGGTATCAATAGTCACAATATTTCAACGGCAAGACAGACCAATTTTACAAACTGATATTACATAGATATCTGTGAAGAGCAACCATCACTATATACAATAATAAAAAAAAAACAACCTGGCACACTTTTTTGTTGAGGAGGTTGTGTACTTACAATCTTAGGGTTGTGAGGCAGACGCCACCAACAAAAAATGTTATTTTTGATATGAATCGGGGTCACTGTAAAATTAACTAGAAAGCCGCAGCAGTACTTTATTAACAAAAAGCCAATGCTTGTGTTATCATATATGTTGTATATCATACTTTATAAATTAGATATCACTTGACATATATCTGTACGTCAATGCTCCAGAGTGGGTTATGTACAGTATTGGAAGAAGAAGAAGAAGATTTGACTTTATCTATTATTACTATTATAACTATTATTACTATCTACATCTTTTATAACTATTAGTCTATTATTACGTATTTAACATTGACTGAGGCTTTGTTTCTAGTCTCACTTAATTAAACTCTGAGACATACTTAAGCCCAGAAAGTAAGATTGTATTTTATATTCTCACTTACAAAGTGATGAGTGCTTCTAGAAAGCATATAACACCAATTGTCAGAATTATAACCCTTTAAATTATCGTTTTGAATTTTTTCGTTTCTGTATGTATTACTTGCTTATTCTTGAACTAATGCTTTTTTTTCAATTATAAACTGCAGAGTGGCAACTTATGACAATAACAACACATCTGATATACTAAACATATATATAATAATCTCTGAAATTATGAAATGATCCTTGTGGAGTTGAATCTTTTTGAAAAATGTAAACATTACAGCATTATAACTTTAACAAACACTTGAAAATGTTTGTTTTATATGACAAAATGTATGACTACAGGTAAGGTTGAAAAACCCACTATATTTTTCTGTGCGGAAACAAAACCAACACATTCCACTTACAATGCCCTACTGGTAGCTAAAAAGGTATCATAAATCATCCCCCACTCCATATTTTCAAAGGGTTGGGGAGCCACTGGCCCAGGTTGCAATTGCAAATGGTTATAATCTTTAACACATTAGAATAAAATTTTGCTACTGTACTCCTGTACTGAAAAAAAAATCTCTTATTTCAGAGCAAGTATGGAGATGATTATGAGTCTGATGATCTTGAGACAACAGATACGCTAGTATGTATTCTTCTAGTATTAAATTACTCTAATTAATGCCATCATATATATTGTTTAGTCATGCATTGCATATATGTGATTTTACTATTTACAAAAGAGAGGCAAATTTGAACACATCCAAGGATGAGTCGGCAAAAGAAATATGTGTCCACTCTTATCATTTATATGAAAATTTACAAATAAATTCAATAAGAAAGATCATTAAGGCCTTAGGGATAACACATCTGTGCTAACAAACTGCATTTAGTGGTTAGTATTATGCATTTTTTCCAAGCAGATTATCACAAATACAATTTGATATCATATTTTGAGCATAAAATGATGTTTTGTATAGAACTTGTTTGATAATTGTATTATAAATATTAAATTTGAAAGGAGTAAAATTGAAAAAGAAAAAAAAAACATGTTTTTTTGAAGTTTTGTCTTTTTTCTATCTTTCATATATAAAGGTACATGCATTTACTTTGTTCATGTACATTTTTGTATTTATAAATAATAAAAAGCTGGTATTGTCAACTATCACATTTATCCAGGAATCAACTGTTTCTGCTTCCTAAAGAACAAGTGATTGGAAAGACTGTCAAGATTTTGATAAGTAAATAAGTGTTTAACTTTATGCTTTGTCAAATTCTAGATGCATTATTTTAATAGTAAATCCTAAAGCTTTCTAACCAAACAGCCTCTTAATCCTATAAAGTTATTGTGAAGTATTCTTTCCTTGCTGAAATGATTCCTGGTACAATGTAAAGGCATTATTGAAGGACATGTCACAGTTTTCAATCTGTACACAGCTGAATTTTTAGTATGCATGTTTCCGGTTTTGAATCTGTCATTTGATAGTGAACAAGATCTGAATTGAAAAATACTGATATATTGCAGTCAACAGTATAAAGTATAAGAATCTTACCCTGGCTGCTGGTACTGACTGGAATATCTAGCCAGTGTTTGAGTCTTTTACTTGCATATTACATATAAATCGTGTTTCGGATAGAAATACAAAAACTGATGGTTTTTATTAATCACTTTTTTCTTATGGTTGCATATGAATTTACAACTTAGTCTATTAAGGTGAAATTATGTCATTATGAAATGCTGTGAAATGACACAATTTCTTTTTACACCATTCCACTTAATAAATGTTAAATACTGCTTGTGTCCTAAGAAATGTTTATAATTTTCATAATCTCATGAAATGGCTGAATGGAACCAAGACCATGTTTTGCACTCATTAACTTACTTTTCATTTATCTACAGGAATCTTTCTTTCCAAAATTAATAATCAGCTATTATAATCACTTCCGTTTCTTTGCTTTATATGCTTGATATAGTTGTAATGTTAAAGCAACACCTCTAACTTTTGTATTAAATAGAGTCGCTATAATCTATGCTTGTTTGTGTTATGACCATTACCCAACTAAATATCTTAGATGGACTTGTCCAGCTTATCAATCTTGACCAGATTATTCATCATTTTACAGAAATTTTCAAGAAACAACTTACTGAATGTCAACCAGTGCAGACCATGATCAGACAGCATGGATGTGTCAGCAGATCATTGTCTGCACTGGTAGCTAGGGTTGATTCTGTAGCCACCAACAGTATAAGGATAATTTAACCCTTGACATATGAAATTTCCCAAATGGACTAATCCATCTTCCATATTGGGACAGTCCATTGTCAATAATAAGGATATCATGATGAAAAATTGAAAGTTTGTCTGCCTTGGTCGGACTGCATTATACTGATGGTAAATGCTACAAAGTTTCAATTTCAGTATCAAAAGGGTTATATGGTCATGTAATTAATATAACTGCCAAAAATACCACCTTTGTTGTAAAAATATATTCATTTAGTTATTTTTTCTTTATTTAGCTATTCTTTCATCCTGTACATATAGCTTTGCATCCACTTATTATTAATATATATTCACATCATGATTTTTCATGCAAGAGAATTTTTGTGATTTTGCAAATAAGATCAAGGCCTCTATGTACATTTATTTATTTTTTATTTTTTTTTTTTGGATATTTTAGTTCTGCATCACAAAAATTTATTTTTTAGATTTAAATCTTATTGGAGCAAAAAATGGTTTTCTCTTTATTAATTATTGAAGAAATTGTAATGTTGAGTTTTGGTCAGTCTTTCCAAATACTGCTGTCTTGTATAAAATTAATGTTTTGCTGTATTTCAGCTGTTATTTTAAGTCACATTGTAACTGTTATGGTGATATGGCGACTTTCCACCTTTAGTGGTGGCGTAAAACCTTAATAGTCCCTTAATGTATTATTTCAGGAATGAGCCAGCACCTGAATATGAGCCGCGCCATGACAAAACCAACATAATGGGTTTGCGACCAGCATGGATCCAGACCAGCCTGCGCATCCGCGCAGTCTGATCAGGATCCATGCTGTTTGCTTACAAACCCTATAACAAGTAGAGACACTGATAGCGAACAGTATGGATCCTGATCAGACTGCGCGGATGAGCAGCCTGGTCTGAATCCATGCTGGTCGCAAACCAATTATGTTGGTTTTGTCATGACGCAGCTCATATAACCAGAGACCTTCTTTAGGCAAACTGAATACCTTCTCGGCATGAACCTAGTCTTGTGTGACCCCAAAGTAGTAAAAATAACTTATCTTCATCACGGTGGATCATGAAATCAAAGTCCTATGTCTTGCAAGCCTACACAGTTTAATGTATACCATGTCTTGCGATTATAAGCACCTGTTACTTCAATTAGTTTCTTGGAAGCTCGTATATTTTTATTGTACCTTTCTTGCAAAAACAAGAAAGAGAGTTGTTTATCCACGTGGTTCATAGGGGCCAGCCACTTAGTTTTTTTCTACAATACAAGATGTTTGCTTGGTGTTACCTTGTAACTTGTTTTGTAATATTTATTTCAGGTTAGGACTTCTTGCAATTGTTTACCTAAATCAAGAACTGTTCTATGTTTGTTCCGAAATACAATTTCAATGTATATACAGAACTTGTCTGAACAACTAGGCTTTGTGTACTAGTGTTGTAACAAAGATTTTGTATATTTTCAGATTGGAAGAAACAGAGTCCCTTCATCTCCAGTTAAAAAGAATTCAAGACCAGGTAAAAGAATCCTTTATACTTTCATTTGTGTGACTCTTACCTTATTATCAATTAAAGACGTTAAAATTAATATTTCCTCAGTCTAAGTAAAATGATGAAAATCAGAAAAGAAAGAAATTACATGAAAGTAAATTTGTTAAATATGTATTTGAAATTTCAAGAGGTCATGCATGTAATGCAATGTTGTGTTTTGTATATTTTGCATGGCATCAAATGGTTGCAATAAACTACTCAATCTTAAAAAAAAATGTGAAAAAAATATCTGCAAGCAATAAGGACATTTTTAGGTTCTGCTTCCAAACTACAGAGATTATTAGTCCCCTACCGGTTTACCGGAGGGGACTTTAGGTTTACCCTCCGTCCGTCTGTCCGTCCGTCAGTCCGTCCGTCCACAAAACTGGATCCCGCGATAACACAAAAAGTACTGAAAATATTTTAATGAAACTTGGTATATGGATAGATGGCAGTATGGAGATTATGCACGTCTTTTTCTTTTCTTCCTATGTTGAAAATTCTGGTTGCTATGGCAACAAATAGACTGAAAATATGGCAAATTTTACACATAACCTGGATCCCGCGATAACGCAAAAAGTACTGAAATTTTTTTTATGAAACTTGACATATGGATAGATGGCAGTATGGAGATTATGCACATCTTTTTCTTTTTTTCCTATGCTGAAAATTCTGGTTGCTATGGCAACAAATAGACTGAAAATATGGCAGATTTTACACATAACCTGGATCCAGTGATAACGCAAAAAGTATTGAAAATATTTTTATGAAACTTGACATATGGGTAGATGGCAGTATGGAAATTATGCACATCCTTTTCTTACCTTCCTGTGTTGAAAATTCTGGTTGCTATGGCAACAAATAGACTGAATTTCAAGATTTCTGATTCTAGTTTTTAAGTTTTTTCACTATAAGTTCTTTATTTCTTAAGGTATTTTCTTCAAACTTTAAAAATAAGTTGCTAGTCATCAACCACATCATATGTGACAAAGTTTACAACTCTAGCACAAACTTTATCAGAATTACCTCCCTTGAACTTAAAATTTTCATGAAAAAAAAACATTGTTTTTTTTTAAAAACTTCTTTTTTTCTGAATGTATCTACTTCAAACTTCATATAAATGTTTCTTATTATCACTCAACATTTGTGAGTGTTCAATACTCTAGCAAGACTATTTCCAGAATTATGCCCCTTTTGAACTTAGACTTTTTTTTGAGAAATTGGTAATTTTTACTCCAACTTCTTCAATCATGATAGAATTTTCTTCAAACTCCCACATCATTATAATATGACAAGGTTTATAAATCTAGCATCCATATTTCCAGAATTATCTCCTCCTTAAACTTTTAATTTTTCCTATTTGTTCTTTTAACTTTCATTTACTTCAATTTCAAAATAAATATTCAATATGCATACCTTCATTACTAATTGTTCTTTGTTACACTCACATCATGTATGACATCGTTATCTCCTTTTTTTTTAAATTTTGCTTTTAAAATGTTATATTTTGATAACAGAGATGTTTAAAAAATAACTTTAGACTGTCCTTCAGTCCGTCTCTCTGTCTGTTCACTGTGATCACTTTTAAAGAACTTTTTCAACAAATTTACTTAAAATAGAAACATAAGTGAATGGCCAATGGCCCTTCAGAATGTTGCTTGGGCTCTTACCGGTAGGGGACTTATGGATTGCTTGCAATACTATGATAATTGCTTGTTATTCATAAACTACAGAAGTCATTATTCATAAACTACAGAAGTAATTATTCATAAACTACTGAAGTAATTATTCATCATTTTAGAATTTGAACACAATATTTGAATTGGAATCATTGAATCAAAACTATATCATGCTTGAATGTGTTGTGCAGAATTGCATGCTGTTTGTGATTATTTCAAGAACTGTGATAAACATGATCTTTTATTCAACACGCAAGGTTCCAGACTGTAAAGCTTCATGAATATTTAATGAAATTAATGGCCTTGATCTTGATTATATTTAGTTGTCAGTCTATCTTCAACTCTTGATGTGAGTAATTACAGATAATTTGCTGTCAATTTTATTGATTATCAGGCAGACAATTATCATTTTATCACCCAATACTATTACATTTATTCTGAATTTTATTGCATTGTTATTACCTAATGTCAGATGTTCTAGTTAAATGTGAAACTGTTGATGGAATTATTTTCATACATGGATTGGTTAGACCTGCCATTCAGAACTTACTGAAATGGAAGATATTTCATATTCTGGTTAGAGTAATTGATATTTAAAGCGTGCATCAAAATTATTGGAGATTTTCCCCTAAAATGTAATATCCTCAAACATATTAGTGTTAGTATGCCCTCTTTCTCATGTTTGGTATCATTTTTGTATAAAAAAAATTGTATTTGCCCTCAAAATGTTGCATTGATTTTAACTGTTGTCATAGTTATTCAAAGACATGTTGTTTTTTTTCAGTATCAGGAAGTGCCAAAAAAAGAACTCCAAGAAGACCAGGTAGGGGTTTTTATTGTGCATTGATGATCAATCTAAACATATTTAATAAATCAATATTTTATTATAAATTCACTCATCTTCCATAGTCTCCATATTTGTTATGTATTTTTAAAACAGCTAGTAATCCAGTTTGTTAAAATGAGGTTTTTCTTCTTAACCCTTATTGGGTCTTTATAAATTTAGAAGTTATCCAGAACTCAATTTTTCCCACCCATATTCTATGTTAATATAATTGACAAAATATGACATAAGCAATATCAGCAGCTGATGGAATTGTGGAAGACTTATATTTTATCTTAAGCATAAAATATATAGGGAATGATCCCTAAATGACAGCCAGGGGAGGTAATACTTGTTACAATGTATATGAAAAGCGTCTATAGCTTCATTTTTACACTACCATTCACAATACTGTAGAGTGATCAACATGTTGGACTTATGATTGATATATTTACCAAGTTATAATTGTTGAAGTTTTTTTTGTACACCTGGATAGGATAGGAAAACCCCACATTTGTCATTTTTGAACACCTGCATAAGTTGGAAAATAACCCACATTTGTCATTTTTGAACACCTGCATAAGTTTTTGCATAACCCACATTTGCCAAGTTTTGGCATATACATTGTATCTTTCACTAGAAGTAGTGAAATATGAATATTTATTTAATTATGATAGATGTATATTGTTAGACTGTCAATAGGCTAAAAAAATTATGACTATTTATAGTATTTATAAATATGTGAAACAAAGATACCTTCCAATAAATACATGAATTATACCTGTATATTTCTTTCAGCAGTATGTGAGATAATTTGAGCCTCGTCATGACAAAGCCAACATAGTGCGTTTGCGACCAGCATGGATCCAGACCAGCCTGCGCATCTGTGCAGTCTGATCAGGATCCATTCTGTTCGCTTACCAAGCCTATTACAAGTAGAGAAACTGATAGCAAACAGCATGGATCCTGATCAGACGGATGCGCAGGCTGGTCTGGATCCATGCTGGTCGCAAACGCACTATGTTGGTTTCGTCATGACGCGGCTCATTTGAAGTTTTAACATTAAGGAATGATTCATTGCTAAATCTGCTCCATTTTTTGATAAGATAAAAATGTAAACAAACAGAGCTAACTTGTGATTTTCTTATATATAGTCACCCCTGGTAAAAAGAAGAAGCGCCCACAGAGTGCCCCAGCAGCCCGCACAGGTCATGACCTGTGGATGAATGCAGTTAAACAGAGACTTACAGGTAAAAACAAAATTAAGTAATAATTAGATGAGACAGGCAATAGTTTGTGAGGTAGAACATATGTGTATGTTTACATATTACACACAGTTGATACAAAATGTTGGGGACATCACCAACCCAATGTAATGTCAGTGGATGGAGTCATGTAAAAAATGACAGGTCAAACAATGTTGTTGCAGTTTTTTACTCTATTTTATTTAATGATATCTTGTGGTAAATGAAATAGACACAGCTGTGCAATATCGTTTTTCGGGAGTCTTAAAAAACAGCACGGTCATGTGATAAAATATTTTATCACATACCCATGCCGATTTTGCGACAGAATGACACCTCTTGTAAGATGCTCTATGCATCTCATGCAACTATGGTTTTTGTTTTGTTGTTTTTTTTCAAAGGGCTATATTGCCATAAATACAGTATACTGAGCTTATACAGAATATTTATATTAAATGTTGACCTAGAAATATTTAATTTGTTTTCCATTTGCTGTGATCATAGATTGTGGACATCTTTTCTGTCTGCAGACAATTTTAATCTTTGCATAAAACTTTATAATCATTTCATGATTTTTATGTTTATAAGCTCATTTCAAAATCTTTGCATATTTTACAATGACCACCAAGCTCGTGATCGATGAAACATCGCTCTCACATCAGATATGATGTGACACGGACCTGTTATTGCTACTTCTGTAAAACAGGAAATTCTATGTAAGGTCTTTTGTATGGTAAAGCTTACAAAAGGAAGAGATTAATGAAAAATGGAAAAGGTATTTTACAGTATAAGTTAGTTTCACAGTTTAAGTTGATTATTTTAAAATATTTTATTTTCTGTGACTGTTGATTTTATTTTCTTTGGCTGTCAATCTTCACATGTGTTTTGTTGAAGTATGATATACGTTTGTATATAGACAGAAAAAAGAAGAACAGAAATTGCCAGATGAAATTAAAAATGGCATATTTTGTTGTCTGAAAACACTGCTGGATCAGAATATATTTCCACTTTTAGAAACACTTATCAAATTGTTCACATTTTTCTCATTTTAAACACAAATTACAAATGTAATTGAACACCTGTAAGTACATGTATAATAAAGAGTACCAATTTAACCAATACCCTGCTCTTAAAATATCTTATATAAACTAAATCAGCTTTCAATATAGACAAGACCATTTATCATTTTTAGGGAAAATTTCAAAATCTGTAATCACTGAATAAAGAACAGTGCAGACTATTATTAGATTACACTGATATTGGTTTGCACTGTTTGCATGGGTAGATTTTATAGCTTCCTGCAGTAAAAAGGTTAAAAAGGGGACTTACAACCTGCCTAGAATTTGTTTGAATTTTAGTTGATCTTTTAACATTATATGCATGTTTTCACTCTTTCATTCAGGTTTTTTTTACTGCTGAGTATTTCTTATCTCATTACACTTATCATTGTATTCCAAAGACATATGAGCTGCGCCATGACAAAACCAACATAATGAGTTTGCGACCAGCATGGATCCAGACCAGCCTGCGCATCCGTGCAGTCTGATCAGGATCCATGCTGTTCCCTATCAGTTTCTCTACTTGCTATAGGGTTTGTAAGCGAACAGCATGGATCCTGATCAGACTGCGAGGATGCGCAGACTGGTCTGGATCCATGCTGGCTGCAAACGCACTATGTTGGTTTTGACATGGGGCAGCTCATATTTTTTAAAGTCTGTGAGATTTTAACTTTAACTAACAGGATATGACCATTGAATCCTATATTTAAGCTGTAAGATGTTAAATATCTTTCACAAACTTATTCAATTTTTTAATCTAATATAACTAAAACATTCATCATTTTTAGAGAAAATTACAAAATATGTACTGACTGAATAGCGAACAGTGCAGACCATGATAAGAATGACATGTACTGGTATATGCCGGCTGATCTTGGTCTACATAGTCACTGGTACAAAGAAAGTTTCAGTGGCCACTCACAGGCTAAGCCTTAAGGGATTATTTACCAGATTTTTTTTTCTGAACTTGATGCTACTTATGAATTCATTGTAAAAATTATTTTGAGATGAAGATGTATCTAATGCAGTAATAGTTCTGAGTACAATATAGAATCTTTAAAACTTCTAATATGATTTACATTCACAGTACATTAAGTGTTTTAAATGAGAAAGGATGCTTACTATTATTACAGTTGGATTAGCTTCAAACAGACACCCTACAAGCCCTCGTCACAAAACAGTCAGTGAATATTGGATTGATACTCTTAGGAAGACTGGAACAGGTTAGACAATTTCCAGATCAGTTTTTGTTTTGTTTTTTGTGTGTTTTTTTTTTGTCTCATCTTTACATTACATTTTCATTAATACAATAAAAGAATATTGGATTATAATACAGCTGTGTTAATAGTTTTGACATAAGCCTTTATATAATGAAGCAGTGCGAATAGTTTTGACTTTAGCTTTTTGTGACGATTTTTTTTTTAATTATGTACAAAAGGTTTGTGAAAACAGTTTGTTGTACTTTTGTTTATGAAATGACTGTGGATACATTTACAGAAAAGAACATTATTAAATTTAACAAAATAGATACAAATTTGTCCTGTGAGTTTGAGTTAAGACACTTTTTTTGTTGAAGATTTGTGTAAATTCATAACATTTCATTCAGTATAATACCTTTTACATAGAATACAAAGAGGCTTGCCAGTCTCATCAATATTGTACAAGTGCCTGGCTTTTGGTCATAATATTTGGAAATGCGGTAACAATTATCTTTGTTTCTGTAAGGCACTTTCTTTCATGATAAAAAGATGACTATTGTCTTTTGTCTGATTCATGATGTTCTTGTATTTTATCTGACAGGTTTCACGACAGAAAGCACCGGAATGAACACATTTAGTGGTAAGCGACCAAGAGATAAAGACATGCCGTACCTGAGTACACCGGCATACCTGAGACAGATGGCCGGAACAGAGAGACAACATAAGGCAAATGATCCCATGAGTAAGTTAGCATTTTGAATTTGTATGTGACTAATTTCATATGAAAAGTTTATATCATGATTGTATTCTCATAATCTTCTTCCACTAGTCAAGAGTTTAATTGATTTTCTTGAAATGTAAGTACTGGCAACACTAAACTTAACCGCCTCCGTGGTCGAGGGTTTAGAGTCGATGAGTTACCTCATCTGGCGTGGGTTCGATCCCCGGGAGATGCTTTGGTAGTTTAGCACGGAGGAAGGTAGTCTAGTACTGGTGTAACTCTCCAGGAACGATGGTTAGGAAACTACCCGCCTATATGACTGAAATACTGTTGGAAAAGGCGTAAAATGAAACAAACAAACAAACAAACAAAATATAATTTCAACTTATGTTTTTCTTTTTTACACTAATATATTTTAATGCATCCTTAACAATCCAGGGAGCATAATTATAGTCCCTAGTTTGTCCTTTCTTTCTTCTTTCCCCCCAGTTGAAATTTTATACTCTTCTTTGAAGAGCATAATAGGACTCTCTCCAACGCCTATAACTGTAATACATTGATTTTTAAGAAAAATTTTACTTTTGTTAATTAACATCAGAAAAAATTTTACATTATCAAGTCTTCTTTTGACTATCAAGCAAATAAGAATAGTCACGTTGCCTGTCCTACCGACAGCTCTTGTTTTCCTTGCTGCATTGTTTCTTTTACTTGCCAGTTATTCATTATTAATTCTGCATGAATTAAATGCTTGACTCATTTGAAACAGGTAAAGCATCACCAGGGACACCGGCCTACAAATCTCAGGAGGAATATTATGAACAGATTCTTGAGTACAAGAAACAAGTTGGGGCATTAAATCAAGATGCCAATAACATGAAGGCTAAAATACGTAGACTAGAAGAAGATAATCTGAAGAAAGAAAAGGAGATAGATTCTTTACTGAACCCACAAAAGGTAAATATTAAAATATTGAAACACTTACATCTAGGACAGAGTGTTTAAGGTTTTCAAGTTTAAGAGTAACAATTTCAAACAATCTTGCTCTGTTATATAAATTCATAAAGTTTGTTTTCATATTACATGTACAGTCAAACGTGTATAAAGCGACCCCGCAAGGGAAACACCCAAAATGGTCGCTTAATGAAACGGTCTCTTAAGACAGTCAGCATGATATTAAAGTCAAAATTTATAAATGACATCTTTCTTATGCGATGAGAATGTTTTTCAACTTCGTTTTTATATACATGTTGAATAATAAGTACGCTTCGATAATCTAAATGAATGCAAATGTAAAAAATAATTTTCTGATATTTATTGACATCCATTACGTACATGTTTGACCTTTTTCCAGAATATTTTAACTTCGCCGTTGTTTGTCCTTGATTTCAACACGAAAACCCTATTAGTGAAGATATTTTCTGTTGTGCATTTTTTCATTTGAAATAAACAAACTACATGGAATTGTTACAATTAATTTAATTCCTGATCAAGTTCAAGGTCAATTCATTGCAGTCTAAATGTCAACAAGCGAAGCGTATACACCATCTCAGTAGGGGCGAAGCGTTGCATTGTTTATCCCATATTATTGGATAATACACGTCACGCGTAAACTTAACTTCATTTGCATACGCTAAAACGGTTTGGGAAATAGAGTTTTTCGCACGTTTATTTGTTGTGTTTTGATTGTTGACACTTGAGACATTAGGAGGTGGGGTTCTCTAAAAACACAGTTACTTGACAGGTTAAAGTGGTCGTTTAATGAAAAGATTTATCTCAATTAGGTGACTAATTAGCGGTCGCTGGTCGCGTTGAACAAAAGTCGCTTAATACATTAAAGATATAGAGAGAAAATGATCGGGGGAATTTAAAGTGGTCGTTTAAGACAAAAGTCGCTTAATACACGTGGTCGCATGGGCAAGTTAGACTGTAACTGGCCTTTGAATAAAAAAAAGGCTGACTTGTACATAAGTTAATTTTTAAGAAAAAAAATTGGGATGGGGGGAGGGGCATTCTAATTTTAAGAAAAAAAGTTTGTAAAATTAAATTGACATTTTTTTTCTATGCAATAGTTAATTCAGCCAAGATATATACAGCCAAGATCAACTATTTTACTTGAATTGACTGTGTTATTAATTATTTGCCCATTAATAAATCTCAGAGTGAATAGCTGTGAAGGACATTAATGGATTTTGAGTTAAAAGGTCAAGTTGTTTACTTGAAGAGAATGCTTTTTTTCTCCTTTGTTTTACTTTGATGACATGTATAAATCTTCAGAGTGAAGAGCTGTGCAGGACATTAAAAGGTCAAGTTGTTTACTAGAAGAAAAAAATTTGTTTTTTTGTTGTTGTTTTTTTACTTTGATGACATTTATAAATCTTCAGAGCGAAGAGCTGCGAAGGACATTAGCCGACAAAAGACCGGATTCCGGTTCAGTTATACACAGTCTAAAACAGAAAATCCTGAAACTTGAAACACAGATGAGGGACAAGGAAACAGCGTACATGTAAGGAAACTCTTTCAGGCCTTGTGATGATAATAAACTAGGGCTGGGAACGAATAAGGAATTTGATGTTCGAATATTCGTTTTCCATATTCGAATATATTCCAATATTCGTTTTTACAACATTTGTTCAAATATTTCTCTTTGACGTATACGTATCCGAAATTGATTGAGTCGAATACTATACTACTTTAATATGCTTGTTATAATCGACGATTAAAAATATCTTTATTACTACGTTAAAGTTTTGTTGTTAATGTTTACTTTTGAAATAAATTCATAATTTGATTGCCTTCTGTTCAGATAATCCGACTGCTGATCATTTGTCTTACTAACGGGAAGTAACTCGCGTGACTTGGTTGACAGTAATATTAATCAACGTAGCATCTTGGCCCAAAACCACATAATTTATATTGGAATTTAACTTGAATTAAATAAAAAAAATTATTTATGTATAATTTTAGTTAAGGTTTAAAATATTCTTCAGATAAATTTAGTAATAACGCAGTAAATATCACATGGAGTCTAATTTCTACGGGATAAATATATTCTTACGGAATATAGACACTGACCAAGCAAAGATTAATGCGTGTCGATTTTTTCGTCTTCACAAAATTTAAGACAATTATTGATTAATCGGAAAGATTATTGCACAGGAAACAATAAATAAGATAATTAAAATCAGTAAGAATTACATTATAATCTGTTAAACAGGTATTTAAAATTGCAAACTGTGAAACGGGTGTCCTTTTGATCAACTAGACCCCAAAGTTTTCACAGTTAATTGGCGATAATCGTTGACACGCGTCATACAAACGTGTGAACACCTGGTCAAGTAAAGGTCAATGGTTAAATTTACGATCTTAATTAAAATTTGAAAATAATAACAAAAAAAAAACATTCTTTTTTTTTCGAATATTCATATTCGTTTTACGATGTTCGAATATTCGGTAGTGTTTCTAATATTCGAATATAATTCCCAGCCCTATAATAAACAATCTCCTAAGCAGTGGTCTCCCCTGTATCTGTACAGAGTCTCTGCCACCACACATTTCTTAACAATATTTTGTTTAAATATATTTTTTTTAACTTTTGAATTTATTTTTCATTATTTTGTATACTTTTGATAATTTTTTGATAAACTACAACAAACATAGGTGTGAAAAGTTAAAATAAAAGCATAAAGAGAAAAAATGACGTTAGATTTTCTAAGTAACAGTCAATATTTTTCATTTGAATTTCGATGTTACATCATGTGGTTAATCCATTAATACAACTTAATGGTGGCCAGGGTAAAATGTCAGGTGTTTAACGTGAAGTTTAAACAGATACTTGGACTTTGTTCATTGATGTAAAGAAGCTGTTTGGCTAGTTTCTGGGAATGGTGGTTCTTCAAATGTAAATATTTGTATGTGAAAGTCAAACTTTTGAAGGGTATCTTATTTCTATATCATGCTACGGAATTTATTAGGAAAATATAAGATATGAATATTTTCAATCTTAATTCATAAACTTAATTAATTCAAATGGACTTTTGTGTTAAAATTATTTTTGTAAGAAATTGTTGCTTTAAAGCTGCCAAAAGATTAAGCTATGCCGTTGGTTAAGAATAAGTCAAGTGAGCTGTTTTATTTTAGAAACTTACCTGTAACTCACTAAAAGACTTTGAAATTAGAGAAGTACAAAATGCATAGGGCTTGCAAATTCCACAATAATTCAAAACAGCTACAATGTTTTAACCAGTGTTGGAAAGAAACTGTTATAACATGTCAGCTTCGTGTTTGAAAGAAACTTTAACTAGACATACTGAAATGATCTGTCATATGTTAATAGTGATGTATATTTTATAGAAAACTGCAAAGTGATTTAAAGACCACAAAGGTTGACGAGATGAAACAACAAATGGAGGTGTTTTATAATGAGATAATACGGTTACAACACTCGAAAGATACAGGGATGAATAAAACTGACAGGTAAATAAGCTGTTTACCATATTTCCTATTTTAAATGCCCCTGATTCATTTCTATCAAATATATAAGATATGCTTGACTGTTGTTTTTCCATGGAATTCAGATGGCAGTGTTCATTACCATATTTTGGAATCAATTTTTTGTGTCGCCTCTACAGAGTAGTGGCGACATATAGGGATCACTTCTCCGTCGTCTGTCTGTCTGTCCGTCACAAAACTTGTCCGGACTACTCCTCATAAGCTACTTGTGCAATTTCATCCAAACTTTACAGGAATGATCAGTACCAAGTCTAGTTGTGCATATTGTCAGCATTTTCTGGTTCAATGATTTTTGTCAGAGTTATGGCCCTTTAATAATTTTTATTTTTAAAGTTTGCCCGGACTACTTCTCTTATACCACTAATGCAATTTCATTGAAACTTTACAGGATTGATCTGTAGCTCAAGTCGTTGCACATATTGCACGGGTTTTCCGGTTGAATGATTTTTGGCCGAGTTATTGCCCTTTGTTTAAAACTACTGGTGCAATTTTATCCAACCTTTACAGGAATGATCAGTATCAAGTCTAGTTGTGCACTGTCCGTCTGTCTGTCTGTCTGTCACAAAACTTGTCCCAACATGAAATTGGCCATCATGAGGCGACACATGTGATCACTGATCGCTCTTGTTTGTGTTTTTGGAAGTCATGACTTCAAAGATTTGTCAATATTGTCCTTGTTGCACAGTCATTGATTTATATTTTATTCTTTCACTGATATATTTTCATTTACTTTTTGAATTTTATTAATTTCTATATTTTCGAAAATTTTAATATTCCTATGCCAACAGAAACGAACAAAAAATTTCTAAGTCATGCACCATTAAAACCTTGCATTAAAAATCAATTATTGGAAATAGAAAATAATGGTCTTTAAAGAAAAGTGCTCTCTTAAAATACTAACAAGCTCTCATAAAATAAGTAGTTTTTCTCCTATATATATTGGTCAAACAGTAAAATAGTATGATGATGTACTGTCTCCAGTTTTCCCACATACAGATTTTATTTTGATGATATTTACAGATTTTGACATAACTTCAGTCTAAAAAAACAAGCAACATAAAAGTATGAGAGCATCATGAAATTGGTCTTTCATTTTCCTTATTTCACCCATCCTTTTGTCTATTCTTAAAGATAAAATTTCATTTCAGGCCCACAGGTCGTGAAGGGAGTGTTAAGGTCAAGGCATTAAATGAAACTATTTTAAGACTGAATAAAACTAATGAACATTTACAATCGGAGAACCGAAGTTTGAAGGACGATCTCAAAAACGCTCTCGAGAACACAGGAGGTAGACCCCAAAATAGTAAGTTGTTAACAAGTCTTTTGAGAACGTGATATTACTATATAGATGGGATTGAAGATTTCATTTTCGTTCGTAAGAAACTATAAATTGAAATTATCAAGAAGGCTATCTTAAATGCCATAAACGTGTTGTTAAGAATGATATTTTAAAACAAAGGAATAATAATTGTATTTTTTTTAATTAATTATCAAGAATGCTACCTTAAATGTCAAATATTTCTCGACATCGATAATTATTATTAGATATTAACATAGTATTTTTGTAAATGAAAGCATTCTCTTTGTTAACTCTTACATTATCCAGGCTCTTGTTTTACTATTAAACATTGAGAATTTTCGAGCATGATGTCCTACAGACAACTCTTGTTTATCAAATTATTTTTTGCACTTTTTGCCAGCTGTTTACAATCTTTTTTAAGTTATTGAGCATTTGTTTTTTAGGCTGAAGTTTTATGGACATTAGTTTTATGTGACCAGTTTAGTTAAAACATCTTTATTCATGCTCAATTATAAAACATGTTTTTCGGACTGATATAATGTTATCAAAAGAATAATGAAGATAATTATCAAAGGGTTATGTACTACAAATATTGGAAGTATGACATGCAAAACAGATAATTGAGCCGCGTCACGACAAAACCAACATAGTGCATTTGCGACCAGCATAGATCCAGACCAGCCTGCGCAACCGTGCAGTCTGATCAGGATCCATGCTGTTCGCTATCAGTTTCTGTACTTGTAATAGGGTTGGTAAGCGAACAGCATGGATCCTGATCAGACTGCACATATGCCCAGGCTGGTCTGGATCCATGCTGGTCGCAAACGCACTATGTTGGTTTTGTCATGACGTGGCTCATATGTTGACAGAAACTGTCAAATATTTTTATAAAACATTATCAATGGAAATTGTTGTTTGAGGCATGATCTAACCTTATTTCCTTATATAACATTTAGATCTGGTTTGTATCAGGACAGGGAGTCTAAAAAAGTTCAACTTTTTTCAGGCTTTTGTAACAATCAAGCAAAAATTAAACATAAAATTAGACTTAAGAAATATAATTAATTTTTTTTATACATGTATTAGGCAATACTGTTTTTCTCCAGAATTAAGAATATTTGGGGGTTTTCCTAGCAAATAATGTAGGTACAAACAAACTTTTACAGTAACAGCTTCGAAAATATAAGCGAAACAGGTTGACTAATCTATTGTGACCGGTAGTGCACCATGAAGCTATAACGGTAAAAGTTAGTTTGTACCTACAGTTTAGCTGAGGAAAAAACCCACTTTGCCGAATTCCGTATAACGTCTATTTAGTTTGATACATTATGAGTATTATTTATAGCAATACTTATCTGTACAGGTAAAACAAACAGCCCGAGGAAGAATTATACGATACCAGGACTAAAAAGTTAGTTATCACACACTTACACCGTGTAATATCTGTGGTATATTGCATGTTTGGCAAGGTGTTGGTTTCAGCAATAATATTCAGGCTATATTTGATGATTTTTTGTCATATAACCAACCATTCATGATATATCTATTTAATGTTTTTTGGTCATATAACCATTCATGATATATCTAAATATAATACATGATATAATAATATGGCATGTTACATATAACATAATATTATAAATTTTGTTATTTTCAAGTTACAGTGTATATCTTTGTTTTTACTTTTAAATGTACTTTTAATAACAGAAGTTGTTGCGGTCAGCTTTATTATTTAACAGAAGTTGTTGAGGTCAGCTAACTATAATACTAGTATTAATCTTTTTTTAAGCCCTTAACGTCCTGAACTTCTGAAATGGTCTAGTCCAGCTTTCATTTTTGGAAATGACCATTATCAATTTTAGGTATATCAAAATGAAAATTTGAGCCGCGTCACGACAAAACCAACATAGTGCGTTTGCTACCAGCATGGATCCAGACCAGCCTGCGCATCTGAGCAGTCTGATCAGGATCCATGCTGTTCGCTATCAGTTTCTCTACTTGTAATAGGGTTGGTAAGCGAACAGCATGGATCCTGATCAGACTGCGCTGATGCGCAGGCTGGTCTGCATCCATGCTGGTCGCAAACCCATTATGTTGGTTTTGTCGTGACGCGGCTCATTAAAGTTAGTCAGCCAACAGTATAGAGCCTGGTACGGTACAGGCTGGCTAGGCTGTATATTGGTGGCAATGTCTAATCACTTACAACTTACGCAAGGTAAAAATTAAATTGCTATTATTCAATGATAGAGGCAATGACTTGGAGAGAATAGACTAAATAAATTGTGATAATAATATCAATGAAACTATGTATATTTGCTAGATATAGATACAGTCGAGTGGTTATAACGAACTCAATGGGACATTAAAATATAGTTCGTTATATCCGAAGTTCGCTAAAAGCGAAGTAACAACAACTTGCTGACTTGTTTGGATGGGGAAATTTGCGTGACAAAAGCCATTCTTTTCACTGGTTACCGGCTTAACCGGTATTTTACTGCAGCAGTTATTGAATGGTTATTTAATGCGGGGCATTTTATTTTACAATATATAATGTACATGGTACATGTATTTATTCATGTAGTACTTGTCTATAAAGTATTGCTATTGCTATTTGTTTATTATTGTTTGGTTAATATTGCAAACAAAAACAATCGAATATTTGGTAATTATCGGGTATTTACAGTAATCAATTGAGGGTGCGAAATACAAATTTTCCGTAACAAATTATGTTGTGAGAACATTTTATTAAAATCTTTATTCCCTGAAGCCATAACTAACCTTTGCAATCTTTCGATTGTATAATTATCGGATAGCGTCATTCATGAAGAAGAACATGTACTTGTACTGATCCTAATCGAGCGCATCCCGATATTTCAATTATAAAAGTTTGTTATAACCGAGAAAATTTACATGTTTTCCGTCATTTAGGGCTTGAAAAAATGGTTCGTTATAGCCGAAAATTCGTTATAAGCGAGTACGTATTAAGCGATGTGATTTAATATAAAATAAAGAAGGAATCGGCAGGGGATGACAGATTTAATTCGCTATTAACGATAATTCGTTATAAGCGAGTTCGTTGTAAGTGGAGTCGACTGTACATATACTGTTTTTTTTTTATTCTTATATATATTAATATTTATAAAAATGCAAAAAAAAAATCATGAATTTTTATTGTAACTTGTATAACTTTTATATATAAATATATATATATATTTTTACTTTTCATAAGCTTTTTTCATACATTATGCTTTGTTTATTAATTTATTTTCCATTTAATATTGTTTTTGCTCATGAGATGTAGAGAATTAATCTGAAATTTAATCATGCTCAGATAAATAATTTCAGTAACAGGAATCGTGTTCTGATACATATAGTAATGAGCATTTTCATCACTGCCATTTATTTTGTTAATAGAAAGATTTGCCTGGTAAATTATTGTTATGAAAGCATCAAAATGGCAGCGGAAATAATTTTGATTATTTATACATTTGCTTGTTTAAGGATTGCTTTTGATCTTTTGTTTACCATTGCTTTGAAAACAATCCCTTACAATCCTTTACCCTATTTTACAGTTTGTTCATTGCCATAGTTAATTGTGTTCCAAAAACTGAATAATAATTAAGTTATTTACATACCTGTAATTGTGAAAATTTATTAGCTTTTAGTATCATTTTGAATCTTTAAGGATTGTTTTTTTTTCTAAAAGATGTTAATTCTGTTTATGTTGAGTTTCTCAAATTAACTCTATGTTTCATAGAATTATAAAAAGGTATATAAATGCATACTTAGCTCTTCTGTTGCAAAGAAATAGTTCAGTTATTTATAATGGTGGTTGTTGTTGTGCTAAACCTTTAATATACCCTGCGATTCCAACATTTAAAAGGTATCAACAAAAAAACTTATACTTTCTAATCATGACAAATACAGATGTTACACAAAGGGCCTTAATTCTAGAAGTGATTTTTTTCCGATTTTCAAATAAGAACAAAATTGCTAAGTAAGTAAAATAATAAAAAAAAACTATGAACAATATCAATGTGACACTTAAAATATTGATTATTATGACAATGCACATTTGTATGGCAAGGGACATATCCTGAGTACAATATTAATTAGGAGTTTTGTCCCTTTTAAGCGTAAATACTTATATAAATTGGTCAGTGTGATCAGGATCCATGCTGTTCGCTTACCAACTCTATTACAAGTTGAGAAACTGATAGCGAACAGCTTGGATCCTGATCAAACTGTGCAGATGCGCAGACTGGTCTTGACTCATTCTGGTCGCAAACGCACTATGTTGGTTTTGTCATGATGCAGCTCATATTTTCTAAATGCTAACATATTGAGTATCTGAAGTTGGCATTAACACCTTTGCAAATAATAAAAGCCATACATAAATGGCATTTCCTCTAAAACTAGAAAATGTGACATGAATGTCAAAGATTTAACGTCACATAGCACTAAATCTTTTAAAGCATTAAATGTTTGTAACTCTGGTGCAGGTTGGAATATTTCGGCTGTCAACTTATGTTTTAGATAATGCAAGAACGGGCATCTGTGGTCTTTTTCCTTTAAAAGCTAGTAAATCACTGAAATTATGACATAAACAGTGAGGATTTAATTCAAATCCAAAACAAAGTATAATTATGAGTGTATGTGGTTTAAAAAATTTCGAAGTACCAATAGTTTAAAATCAATATTAGATCCCTTAATTTTTTAATGTGTAAAAAAGATTTATTTATTATTGGCCTTCTCAGATGATAAAACACATATGAGGTGCATGCTAGGAGGCCAATATTCTTATATCAGCAAAGCTAGGCTATATTTATTCCATGTAATGAAAAGAAACAAATAACTCAAAAAAAAAAGAAAAAAAATGAAGAAGGAAAAATACCAGAAAATATTATGCTAAGATTATATATATTTTTTTAAATAAAATTCCCTTGGATATTAATTTTTTGAATTGCCATTTCCATTTTTTGTAATATCTTAGTCACTAATTTAGAATAGACATTTTTTTAGAAGAAATGTTTTCTGGAAAATGTTGTGGGCCTTTAAAGATGTTCCATGTTGTTTCACCAGATGTTTAAAGTTTTTCTTGTTTCTATTTTTAGAAGATTATGAGGATATGGGCAGGAAGGAACTGTTGCAGTGTGTCACTCAATTAGAAAAGGTAATGTTTATGTGATATCAATTTCGGTACAATGATATATTGATAGTTTTATACAATTCATTTGGTACAAAAATTATTCAATTTCATTATACTGTATAAGTGGATATTTCCCTGTGTTGAAGAGTTAGCAAATTAAAACTTCCAGACATTTCATGTGAGGAAATATAAGCGAACTGTGCAAGGGTAAAATTTAATGACAGGTTGGTTGATATTATGCTAGAGGAAATTTTAGTGATGTTTGTCAATTCTTGAAATTCACTAATATTTTCGCAGTCTCAAACTTAACCACTCATACAGTATTTAGTTTGAGACTTTTCTATTTCATTATTTTTGTTTCATTATTTTTGACATAAATATGAAATAATTGTGTTATGATTGGTATAGTGATAGATTAATTGTTTTACAAGGTGTATTTAGTTAAGAAAATATTGAATTTTGTTTCACACCTTGTAAAATGTAGCCAATGAACTTCCAAGGTTTGCATCTTGTGATCTCCCATGAAATCACAATTGAATTTAGTCTAGCTAACTTAGCTTCATTTTCAGCATAAAATCCTAATTGTACATAAAATAACAAATTTCCGTCAAAATATATAATCAGTTCAATAAAAACAAACGCTTTTCTTAAGCTTTCGACTTTTAGTCTTCTTCAGAGAAAATTAACATTATAAAATAACAAATGACGCAACGTCCGTTTAACTATACGCTAAACAGAACGTGATGATAACATGGGAATAAAAACTATGTCAAATAAATACAGAACTTTTCATGAATATAAATACAGCAATATACAATAAATTACACATATAATATGGATCTGTACAGGAAATACAAAAATTCTCATAATTAATAATAATAAAAAGAACCTTGATATGAGAAAAAACATAACTACATGTATATGTATACTGGCTCAAAATATAAAAATTTTAGTGGTCTAAAAAAAATGTTTATTACAATACTGATATTATTGGACTCATTTATAGCGGCAAAATTTGTTTAAGACGAGCTAGAGCCTTGTCCATTATATACAAGTTTTATACATGTATTTGCTTCTCCTATTAATTAATTGTATTTTAATGGTTCAGAGATTTTTAAGGAATTGTATAATATTTGGTTGTGAGATTAATTAATTGTATTTTATTTGAAACATAAATTAATTAATTGCATGTTATTTGAAACAGAAATTAATTAATTGTATTTTATTTAAAACAGAGATTAATTAATTGTATTTTATTTGAAACAGAAATTAATTAATTGTATTTTATTTGAAACAGAGATTAATTAATTGTATAATATTTGGTTCAGAGGTTTATTAATTGTATTTAATTTGAAACAGAGATTAGAGAAATCAGAGAGACATATGGATGGTTCTTCTATTATATCATATGAAAGCAAGGCAAACCATGTTCAAGGTATGATATTGTTCACTATTTATTATTGTTACATTACCAAGTTATTGTTATATAACCAAATGTGTTTAGCCTTTGCCACCAGCATAGAGCCTGGCCGGCCTGCATCATGAAGTCTGACTTGGTTCTATACTGTTGGAGTCAGAGACCCAAAAATTGTTGAAGCACCATACTAAATATTGTATTGCAGTATATACCGGACAAGGGACTTGAATGGTTCAATGTTAAAATCAGCTATTTCATCTCATCACACAGATTTATATACAATTATGAATGAACAAGAACCGGTTGAACCGGGTGATGCTCCCCGAGAAGGTTCTGGACACAGGAAAGTATAAAAAAAATGAACAAAGGGCAATAACTCCAAAATTACACCAGGCTTTGTTTAGGTTCTTGAAGCGTTGCAGTTCTATCCAATTATATCTAGCTACCTACAAAGTTTCATGTTGATATCTCTAATAGTTTTAAAGTAATGTCCAGGACAAAAGTCAAAAAGTAAAAATAAACAAAGGGCAATTACTTCAAAATAAGGCAAGGCAGAGTAATGATTCTTAAGCACTGCACTTCCACCCAATGAGACCTATCTATCTACAAAGTTCCATGTTGATATCTCTTATAATTTTAGAATAATGTCCCAGACAAAGTTCAAAGTGTCAAAATGAACAAAGGGCAATAACTACAAAAGAAGGCAAGACAGTGTTACAGTTCTTGTGCACTGCAAACTTACTCAATGAGATCTATCTACCTACAAAGTTTCATGTTGATATCTCTTATACATTAAGAAATATGTTCTGGACAAAGTTCAAAGTGTAAAAAATAAACAAAGGGGGGTAATTCAAAAATTAGGCAAGGCAGAGTTAAGGTTCTTGTTCACTGCACACCTACTCAATGAGATCTATATACCTACAAAGTTTCATGTTGATACCTCTTATACTTTTAGAGTTATGTCCCGGACAAAGTTCAAAGTGTAAAATAAACAAGGGGGATAATTCAAAAATTAGACAAGGCAGAGTTACGGTTCTTGTGCACTGCATACCTACTCAATGAGAACTATCTACCTACAAAGTTTCATGTTGATACCTCTTATACTTTTAGAGTTATGTCCCGGACAAATTTCAAAGTGTAAAATAAACAAAGGGGGATAATTCAAAAATTAGGCAAGGCAGAGTTACAGTTCTTGTGCACTGCACACCTACTCAATGAGATCTATCTACCTACAAAGTTTCATGTTGATACCTCTTATACTTTTAGAGTTATGTCCTGGACAAAGTTCAAAGTGTAAAATAAACAAAGGGGGATAATTCAAAAATTAGGCAAGGCAGAGTTACGGTTCTTGTGCACTGCACTTCTACTCAATGAGATCTATCTACCTACAAAGTTTCATGTTGATACCTCTTGTTGTTTCAAAGTTATGTCCTGGACAAGAAAAGGGGACGGACGGACGGACGGAAAGACGGACGGACGGACGGACAAGGCGGCGACTATATGCTCCCCCGAAATTTTTTCGGGGAGCATAAAAATGTAAGAATCGCTGAAAAAATCGATAGTTTTTCTATTTGTGATCTATTTTTTTTCAAACCGTCTAGAGGTACTGCTGCAACACTGTAGTTTAGTTAAATCCTTACTTTTGGCTGATTAACTTGATAAATGGATAATAAAAGTTCCAAAACTGAAAACTAGTAAAGTCCATTTTAAAAATTATGCATGTTAAGGGTTATAAATGTTTGATTGAAAACTATCATAAAAAAGCAAAAAACTGCAAAGCAAATAAAAAAACATGTTGAAAAAAAAACTGCAAAATTATAATCAGCAAATGAAAAAATGGCATCAGTTATTTTCCGATGAAGATACCATGGAAACACTAGCACCTTTTATACTGAATTATCAATTCCTTTATTAATAAAGGCTAAAGGCTATGTACTGTACTTGGGGAACTGTTAGTGTAAGTTTACATAAATTAGAAGACTTTTATTTCAGTGTTAACTATGTGAACATGTGAATCCTTCAGCACATGTTATGATACTTATTTCATTAATGTTTAAAGGCACGTTATGGTTCAAAAACAAGAAAATTTTTATGCCTTTAAGAATGGGTACACACTGAGTTTTATAATGTTAAAATAATTGTTTTAAAGCATAAAAGATGCTATTCCCCTGAAGAAAGTAGTGCTGAATGTTAAATGTAGCAAAATGTAAACAAAGTAGTATTTTGATTTCCGTACAAAATGATAAATCAATTTAATTGTACTTACTGGTATTTCCGAAAAAGCAACAGAAGCAAAAACATGATTGAATTCAGTTATATTTTAATTTCTAACAGGTCACAAAAAATGAAAAAAAATTGAGAAATAAATGTCAAACTAATTCTTGGGCATGATGGGCCTTAAGTGATAAAAATGATATTTGTTCATACAAACATTTACATAGCCTCGAGATCAGTTCTAAATTATTGTATGAAGTAATTTATTTTTATTTCAATTACTAATTACTAATTACTCTGTTGGAAAAGGCAAAAAGAAAAAAAATAGTATGTTTACTGACAGTAACAGTTTGACACTTTGAACATGGCCATATAAGGTAATTCTGGTTTTATAAAATAGAAATTACAATACAGACTGGGTACTAGCTAGCATTTACAAACAGTGGTTGTGTTTGATATTTTGTTGTGTATTTCATTTTGGGTGAGGGAGGGATGGTAAGTGGGGGAGGGAGATTGGCTTAAACACACAAGTTTTACTGTAAAAAAACAAGCACCATTAGTTGTTTCAGCATCAGTTTTTTTACCATTCATCAAAAAATATGCATTAATGCATTGATGTGATGTAATTTTTTGCTGTTTTTTAATTTTTTTCTGGCATTCACCTGGCTATATAATATCATGTGATAAAAGAATCTTAAATTTTGGTTTTTATTTATTTGCTTATAAGACAAACATAAATCACTTCCCAGAAACATGACAGTCCTTACCATTTATAATGTTCTTTTTATACCATCTTTGTAGACTTATTAAATGAGCCGCGCCATGACAAAACCAACATAGTGCGTTTGCGACCAGCATGGATCCAGACCAGCCTGTGCATCCACGCAGTCTGATCAGGATCCATGCTGTTAGCTATCAGTTTCTCTTCTTGTAATAGAGTTTGTAAGCAAACAGCATTGATCCTGATCAGACTGCGCGGATGTGCAGGCTGGTCTGGATCCATGCTGGTCGCAAACGCACAATGTTGGTTTTGTAGTGACGCGGCTCAAATATAGGTATAACGAAATGAACACCTGTGTAATATATTTTATGTCACAATGTATTATAACAGGTAAAATTGCATTGGATGGAAGTCTCGAAGACAGATTAGACCAGCTTGACAAACGTGAGTCAGAGTTACTGGAACTGTTAGAGAAGAAAAATGACAAAATTAAACAGCTTACTGCAGAAAAAAATAGATGGAAGAAACGTTGTGAGGAAATGGAGTATGTACTGATACTTAATTATATTGACTTTGCTTGTTTCTATAAATAGTAACTCAATTCCATTATTTCAACTGATTATGTGTGTCACAGGACCTATTATGTGATTACCTAATATGTGGTATTTAAAGTTAAGATATTTTTTGAATTGGTGAAATCCATGGGATTGTTAATAAGATTCTTACTTAGGTCAAATCCTTTCCCTCATATAACACCTAGGGGCGTCTGTGGCCGAGTGGTTAAGGTCGTTGACTTCAAACCACTTGCCCCTCACCGCTGTGGGTTTGATTCCCAACAGGGACTTTGGATTCTTTCATGTGAGGAAGCTATCCAGCTAGTTTATGGAACGTCGGTGGTTCTACTCAGGTGCCCGTTCGTGCCTGAAATAAAGCACGGAAGAGCACCTGAGGTCTTCCTCTACCAGTAAAGCTGGAACGTCGCAATATGACCTATACTGTGTCGATGTGATGTAAAACCCAAAACAAACAAATCATATAACCCCATTTTAGCATTTATAATGTATAAGTCCTTGAAAAGCAAGACTTAGGAGAAATTGAATATAATCCCACTTTTTTCAGAATTTTGTTTTGTGTATACAGAAAAGTGTAAGTTAAGCTTAAATAGTATGACATAACCAAATATTGATGTTTCTATTATTGTAGGAAAATGGTAGGTTCAGGAACGGCAGACTATGATTATAGAATGGACGAAAGAACAGAAAAAGGGTCCAGATCAAGGTATTTATAATGCTCAGCTTCATTTTAAAAAATTCTAGCTAGCATTGTCATAAATGGCATAATGCAAAAACTTTATTGAAGCCCATTATTTATACATTTAAGTACAAATTTAAGTATAATTTATATCAACACTTGGTATACTTGCTTATCTTGTCAAGGTTCAGTTGTAAGACAAGGGGAATTAAACCGAAAGCTATATATTTGGAGTTATGCCCCTTTTTAACTGAGGTTTTTTGTTATTGTCAGATTAACAGATAATACTTTACACTGCATGGGGTGCTCTTGTTTTCAAAAAATGTTCTAACTACTAGTATTCATGAGAAGAAAAAGAAGCAAAGTTCTTATCAATACAGAAGTATGATGATGTGTTATTAAAGTGATAAACTTAAATATTTTTAGTAAATAAGTTAAAGAGTCAGTCTAGGATAAGAATAAGAAAATAGATAGTTGTGTTTGTTAAAACTATGACACATCAGTTTTCATAGTATGTAAATTTTGTTTATGTTGTTTTATAGTACATACAGTAAATATAAGATCTTTTATGTTTTCGCTAGGAAAGCATCAAGGTCGTATCAAATAATTATATTCATGGGTTTTGAACCTTCACATTTAAGGTTCCATGATAACTGCCGTATGAACACATCTGCAGATGTTTCTAAATTCAAAATTTTACCATTTCATGTTTAAATGTTGAATTCTGCTTAAGCCGGTGCTAGGGGGCGTGGGTGGTAGTTTGCACTTGACAGTACCGTCCATAAACATGCTCAATCAAACCGAGCCTGCAACGTTTTTAATTTGTTGTGTTGGGCTTTCTTCAGGGATTCTTATTTTCTCTATTTATTTGAACTCCTCTCCATTTCTAAACACCTATTCTCTCTTGAAGAACATTTTCATGAATGATCAGGACCTGTTTTTTTAAAACCAAATGTATTTGTATACTCTACAGTAGACCGCCAAGTGCTCGAACAACCAGTACACGAGGTCAGAGGCCAACTAGTGCACGTTCTGATGACCGACCACCTACTGCAAGAGATCGGACACCCAGAGGGCGCCCTGACCGTCCAGACAGTGGAAGATCAGAAAAACGCCCTGTGAGTGCTAAGAGAAGACCGTCACTGGAGAGTAGCGTGTCCGTTGCAAGACGACAGAAGATTCGAGACTTCCAGGAAAATCGTTCAGCTAAAACGATACAGAGACACTGGAAGTCACATAGGCAAGATCAACAGGTACAAATTGTAATCACATGTTAATATTGTTGTTGTATAAGTCATCTCTGATAATAGAAAACAGGTTGATAATGCCGTATCCTAGGTGCTATACATGTTAAAAGTTAAATGTTTTTGCTCAAAATATTTACGTAATAAAGTTTGCTGGGTACATCCATATTTTATTTGAATATTAAGCAATTTAAGACATTTAAAGTGCAAATGAGTTTGGTAGGGAAATCTGCTTGATGGTTACTATTACTGACTTGAAATATTTACCAACCTGTTAAATCAATTCTTAAATGTTCAGTGACCAGAGCAACAGATAAGCTTTAAAAGTGAATTGGGTATTACTCCATCATTTCCTTTGTAATTGGGTATTGGCTCCATTTAATTGGGTATTCCAAAACTCGATACCCTATGATTTCAATATCAATTGGGTATTCAATTATGAAGATATGAATTTTATGGTTTCAATATCAATAAAATTTAAACTGTTTTAAAAAGAAAATAGGATTAACAATTTACTTAGAACTTTTCATAATTGTTTATTTTTTATATCATAAAATGCTCATGTTATATTTCATAATATTTTTTAACAAGTTCGTTTTTCTGACTGATTTTTGATTATTTTACGATTGTTATGTTTCAAATCATTTTCCCTTTTGTACGACGCCATATTGCTTTGATACAGGTGGGGCCTACTTATTAACGGTCTCCGCAAAATCAACGGTCTCTGCCCGTCTGTAAAGACTGTCGACCTGAGTAGACAAATCGACGGTGTCATGCTTTATTGATATGACTTAGTCGGTCTTTGGAGACCGTGACCGTCGAAGACCGGAGACCGTTGATTAGTGAGCATTGATTCGGGAATATTGATTATTCAGATAGCATGCATATCGATATAATTTGTCCAAAACTAGGAGCGTACGACAGATTAATTTTGCGGTGATGAAAATGACAATACGCACGGGTTTTTAAGTTAATTGCGTATTTTATTTTTTTTTATGGGTTTTGATACGCATTCTTAAAAAATCAATTGCGTATTTTATAAAATTAATTGAATAAATACACAAATACGCACCTTATCTGTTGCTCTGGTGACCTTTTTAAATAAATAAACAGTGTAGTTGGTTCTATACAGATGATTTACAAGTAAAAAACTCATCTGTTGATGATGACCCATTAAGCCATGCAATTTTTGGATTTCAAAGTTTTAATGTTTTACCAGCACCACTTCCAGTTTAGAAGTTAGTCTTCACTTATTATTTTCAGTTTGACCTTTGACCCTTTACAGCTGGCTGTTTATAAAAA